ACATCCTACCAACAACCTACTGACATCCTACCAACAACCTACTGACATCCTACCAACAACCTACTAACATCCTACCAACAACCTACTGACACCCTACCAACAACCTACTGACACCCTACCAACAACCTACTGACACCCTACCAACAACCTACTGACACCTTACCAACAACCCACTGACACCCTATCAACACCTTACTGACACTCTACCAACAACCTATTGACATCCTACCAACAACCTACTAACATCCTACCAACAACTTACTGACACCCTACCAACAACCTACTGACACCCTACCAACAACCTACTGACACCCTACCAACAACCTACTGACATCCTATCAACACCTTACTGACACCCTACCAACAACCTATTGACATCCTACCAACAACCTACTGACACCTTAACAGCAACCCACTGACATCCTACCAACAACCTACTGACATCCTACTGACAACCTACTGACGTCCTACCAACCCCCTATCAACACCCTACTAACACCCTATTGAAATCTTACAAACCCCTTATTGACTGCCTACCAACACCCTACTGAAACCCAACCAACAACCTACTGATGGCAATTTTATTCCTTACTGTTACCGTCCATACTGTACCTGCAGCAACATCCATCAAGATGTTCTCAATCCTGACATTCCTTCTAATATGTTTCAATAGATGCTGAGCGTAGAGACCGTTCCTCTGGTCATGCTCTTCAAAGGCTACTTGTTGTGAGCAGCTGTACGAGAACAAAACAATGGAGTTCAGTTTAAGACAGAATAGAAACACAATCTGTATACATCAACCAGTTAACCAACACATCCATCATACAAATAAAATGGGAAAGAATCAAGTAACAACGAAAAATGGAATACTAAAAAGAAAAACAAAAAGGAAAAATTCAAAGAAACAAATGAATAAACCATTGCATGCAGCTTGATGCATCACTACCTTACTAACCATGAATATGCAAAGATATTATTGCCATTTGTTCCTCGTTTAATGAATGTTGGAATCTGATCTTTGGTTGGAGGCCTAAAACATTGTATCAAAATGGCAACAGACAACTGAGATAACTGATTATCCAAATTATGAAATTCAACACATGCACCAAAGAGGCAGAATTCATATCACCCAGCATAGCATGGCATGAAATCATTTGCTGAACCAAACACAATTACAGAGCAATAATTACACAATTCTTACTAGTTATATCAATTTAACGCCACACGGTTAGCTCAGTTGGCAAGAGCGCTGGTCTGGTGTGTGGAAGGTCGTGGTTCAAGCCTAGGCCGGACCAACGCTCAGGGTCTTAAAATAACTAGGAGAAGGTGCTGCCTTTGTAATTACACCTGCAAATGGTTAGACCCTCAGGTCTTCTCAGACAAGGACATAAAACCGTTGGCCCCGTCTGTCTTCACTATATAACCCTGTAAAAGGCGGATGTAAAAGACGCACTGGAGACACTGGTTATGACCATCTTCAGTGCCTGTGCCAAACTCTACAGGGCCCCACTGTAATTGGCAAAAAGCTGTTGTGGTGTCCCTGCCCTCATGGGGAAAAAGCTAAATAAATAAACTTGTAAGTTTTTTTACCTTACTCTACATGCATCTATAATGAGTAGATTTAGTGACGTATTGCATTCCTGCATGGTTTGCAAGATTTCCTGAGCACAGAAGCTGTCCTCTCTCTTGAATGACAAGTCTGCATCTACTGGAATGAGGTAGTTCTTTCCGTGATCTTCATATCCATGCCCTGCATAGTACAGAACAGCATATACTCCCTTTCCTAGATATCAAACAAATATACAAACATATAAGATAACAGAATACCTCATAAAGGCTTCTAAAGCATGGCTAAAACTAATAGCTGCTTAATTGCCAGACATCATGACCACTCACATCATACTATCAGATATAGGAGCAGGCGTAGCTTAGTTGGTTAGTGTGAGACCTTCGGAGCTTGAGTTCTACGGTTCAATCCTTTGGGTCTCCACGTCTGTTTCGACTTCTCTCTAATCCGTGTAGCTTCAGCTTTAAATACTCTTAAGACAAAGCACTGATGGAGAGAGGGGGTAAAGTGCGTGCCGTCGGCTTCCATTGATAGCAGTTGAATTTCAACTGAAGGAACTACCGACGTTAAATATAGGTACTTTACTTTACTAATCAACATGCGAGTATTCAATGTGACTGAAGGAGAGGTCTAATATAAAAAGCATTTCGCCGCCTGGTGCTGGCCAGCTATTATTCTTAGCCCTGAATGAAATAAGGATTATTACCCAGAAGCCTGCAGAATGAATGAACTGTAATTCTCATCTCACTCAGTGTCAAATTGACCAGGGAAAAAACCTGTATTAGAAAAAAAAGAAGGTTGGTAATTTGTCATTGCATTTTATCTCCAATGGAAGTTCCCCCTCCCCATAGAGTTCCCTTTCCTCCCCTCAGAGTCCCTTCCTCCCCCACCCTGAGTCTCCCTCCTTCCTGCCCCCCCTACCCCAAGGTGATGCAACTGTTTCCATGAGTAATGAAAATCAGAGAACCTAGGAACTGTTGAATCACAGGAGAGAATAGAAAAGCAACTCTACTCAGGATAGTGAGTACTGGGATCAAACCCACGACTCCGGCGGTGAGAGGTAGTAATGGAATCACCATCCATGCTTCCAAAACAAATTATGGTATTGTATGTAGCTATTCAATTAGAGATTTTGCTGCATGTCAAATATCTCAATGCATGATGAAGTGAATAAACTGGACAATAAGTTTTACACTTTTTACTAACAAAACTGGAAGAGCAAGTTTAACTATCTTGTTGACCTGTGAAGAAAGCCATTACAGTCAACTCTTGTTACAGCGGACACCCTTGGGACCATCACTTCATGTCCATAATAGAGAGTGTCCGTAATAGTGAGTGTCCGCAATAGCGAAAGTTATTTACGGTCATTTATTTGTCAGTATTTTTGTCGGGATTTTTCTCCTGTCCGAATAGCAAGCTGTCCGTAATATTGCAATGTAGGCAAGGTGAGAGTTGACTGTATAACTAAAGTCACCTTGAATTCTAGCTCATGCAATGCTGCAGCCACATCTCTTGCATCATGTTCTGGGTACATCAGCTGATTCAGTTTCTCATGACTATATTTCATATTACCAATCACCAGTGCCACTTTATCTGTAACAACTAATTGATCAGAGTAGATGAATGACTTGGTATACTCTAGACAGGTACGGTATATTCAGTAGCTGTGTCAAAATATATCTTTACTACTCTCCCTACACACATTCCAATTAAAGTATAGAGATGTATAAAGCCATCTCTAAAATATAACAAATTTCTGAATAGGAAATATTATAATTATTGATCTATGATTTAATAGTAGTTATATTTTACCTGGAATTTCTGTAAATCTTGGAGCTATAAATGGAACAAAATGCTAAAATTAAGAGCCATCAAATGTATCAAACTATCCTACCTATAGACAAAAAATTCTTCTGCCATCCCACCCATATATCAACCTTCTACCACCATCCCACCCATATATCAACCTTCTACCACCATCCTACCTACACATCAACCTTCTTCCACCATCCCACCCATATATCAACCTTCTACCACCATCCCACCCATATATCAACCTTCTACCACCATCCTACCTACACATCAACCTTTTACCACTATCCCACCCATATATCAACCTTCTATCACCATCCCACCCATATATCAACCTTCTACCACCATCCCACCCATATATCAACCTTCTACCACCATCCCACCCATATATCAACCTTCTACCACCATCCTACCTACACATCAACCTTCTACCACCATCCCACCTATACATCAACCTTCTTCCACCATCCCACCCACATATCAACCTTCTACCACCATCCCACTTATACATCAACCTTCTACCACCATCCCACCCATACATCATTCTTCTACCAACCATCCCACCTATACATCAACCTTCTACCACCATCCCACCCATACATCAACCTTCTTCCGCCATCCTACCCATATATAACCCTTCTACCAGCATCCCACCTATACATCAACCTTCTTCCACCATCCTACCCATAATATATTTATGTTCAGATACTCAACAGGATTCTTACCTTCAAGAAGGGTATTCACTAAAGAGTCCTCATGAATTGGTAAATCATTTTCCTCAGGTTGTAATGACGATTCCTGTTGTACTTCTGAGTACAAAAATTATGCACTTCTTATTAATTGTTTTTTTTTTTAATTATAAAAACAAAATAATTTATACATAAGTATTGATGGTTTGCAAGCATTCCCAAGAGAGGTAAAAGACAATAACATGACGGCCATTGTAGTGCCATTAATAATGGATGCTAATAATAAATCTTTTGTTAAATGGCACCAACGCTCTCCTGAGAGGCCGGGATGACGTAAGGTGCAATTGAAGAATTTTTGTGACATTTAAGTTTCACCATTTTGTAAGTGAAAATTAAGTGGCCCCTAATTAATGTGAATTATCAAATAAATATTGAATTTGATGAAAAAGTGGGAATAAGAGTGTAGGTAAGGACAACTTTAGCCATCCAATTTGTAAAAAACTAAATTGCATGAAAAAAATTATGTGGCCTGGAAATATTTTTAAAAATTTAATTATTTCCAAAATAAATAGGCCAGCCATGTAATCTTATTTCAGATTAATGGTAGGGTGCAAACAATTAATCCGTGAAACACTAATTACTAAATAGTACAAAATAGTACTAATTAAACAATAAAAAACAATGGAATTTGCATGAAATTGTGCTATTTAGTATTACTAAAGTTTCACKGTTATATTGTTTGCACTCTATCATGCCAGACTTACAATTATTAAAAAAAGAAATATGAAGCTGCTAATTTAAATAAATTGAATGTTATTTTTAGACGTTCAACCCTCCCCTCCCCTCCCCCATGGATGCCAAAACTCTCAAATACCAGTCAAATACCTGAAAACTCGTAAGGTTTCAAAAAATCAACAGCGTCATGTCTCTTCATTTCCTCAAGCTTGACTAAAAGCTCAGAAACAGTCTTTTCTTGGCCTTCTTCGTAACACGTCGACCAATCCTCGAGCATGCACGCTGTGGGATTCCGCTCTCTCTCGAAGTTTTGCACTCGTCGCAACGAATAACCAAGCTTTCCACTTAGTGTTCTTACATCTTTTGAAATTAATCTTGGATTTAGGAACATTCCAAGCTCCTCTAGAACATTGGGGTTTAAGTTAGATAGTGGAGTTTTTACGAGAAGCTTTGAACTAGTTTTTGACTTGTCAGCCATTTTTGCGTGCGTATATGGACTCTAGATCAACAGGTCACCCACAGGAACCCCAACATAGGCTGGAACCAGGCTAGAGAGCAAACAAATATTGGATGTTACTTTATTAAATAAATCCCATATTTACTTTAAAGCTAACCTATCTTCAGTAGGCATATCTTTTAAGCGGACATCATGCAAAGTCCCGAAGTTTTCCGCTTAGATGGACCACTGTAGTTACTTCGTCATTGTTATTTACATTATCCGCGAGTTTCCCGCCAAAATCATATGCATATGTCTGTGGGTGTGGGTTACCTGTGGTGGTAGAGTCACATGACGGGATTTGTTCAGCAGAGAAAGAGAATGTTGAGCATGGCTGGTCTTCAAAATATCGTCTCTACCTCGGCACTTTTCGTCATTCTTACAGCGTCCTTGTGTTCATGTGTTAATAATACAGTTCCTGTTGTTATTTGGCATGGGATGGGTAAGCAGATCGCGAAGATTTTGTGCGAAATAACGAGTAGTCGAAGGTCACTGTCAAAATTGTTTTGTTGTTGTTGGAACTAGGAAAGGCTGTATAACGAATTGCATATTCCCATCCTTTTAAACCAGCTTTCTTATCATGTAATCACTTAAAGCTATTTTATGGTTTATAGTCAATGTTAATAATGATATTTAACAACCTTTAACCCAAAATGTTTTAACTAAATATGTTTTCAGTTGGAGGGGTTGTACATTGTTTTATAAGGGTTTATAAAGATGAGATGTTTACTTCTTCAATTTGTAATTTGTCCCCAACGAAGACCCAATCCACCCCCCCCCCCATTCCGCCCCAAGACTCACCCTTGAAAATAAAGGCAAACACACTTCTCTGAAGATTTCATTACATGTAATTTTGAAGGCTATGAAGGTTGTCAAAGTTTTTTTCTTCTGTCACAGGGGATTCATGTTGTAACCCCCTCAGTATGGGATCAATCAAGGGCATGCTTGAAAAGAAAATACCAGGAATATATGTACGATCTCTTATGATTGGCAACAACATCTTGGAGGTAAGCTCCGATATTTAGTATATACAGCTATTTCAAAAAAGTTTGATGGGGAGATTTGCAATAGGTAATTGATGGTTTTCAACAATTCCCAAGAGAATTAAATCACAAAAGACACGGTGGCCATGTTGGAGGATATAACAAAAGAATTCATTGACAATTCTTTTGTTAGGTTCCTCCAACATGGCCGACGTGAAAACCATCAATAAGCGAAAGGTGATAATGCACCAGCAAAAATTTTATTGACTCTCTTTTTCTTATAGGATACAGAAAATGGGTTTCTGATGAATGTTAATGAACAGGTAACTATTTTTGAACACAATAGAAATCATTGCTGTACAAAGACATCAGGTCCAACATCATTGGAATTTGAGCCATTGTTTTGTGGTCACCCAAATTTGGGGAGGGACTATTATATTGGTGGCCTTATTTTTATATAATTAATGACACCTTCGTCTTTGCAGATAAAACAAGTATGTGACAAGCTTGCAAATGATCCTAAGTTGCAAAATGGTTACAATGCTCTTGGCTTTTCCCAAGGTGGACAGTTTCTGTAAGTTGAACAAGTTGGGTAGGGGAAGAGCCACAGGGGCTCATTTATTTCATTACTGATAGCTAAATATGGAGCTAGCTTTCATTTTCAAAACAAATTCCAAAATGTCCCCATTTCTTCTTTAATTTCTGGAATAAATTGTCATTACTCTTATTTGGCATAGGCGAGCAGTGGCTCAGAGGTGCCCTAAACCAGCCATGCTGAACCTGGTTAGTTTTGGAGGCCAACATCAAGGTGTTTATGGTTTTCCCCACTGCCCTGGAGAGAGTGTAACCCTCTGTAACTATGTCAGAAAACTGCTAAACCTTGGTGCTTACATAAGGTATATAACAATCAAGACATCAAAAATTAAACTTGCCACGAATAAAAATATAAATACAACGGTTGTGCACATCCTGGCTCTAATAACAGCCAGTGACAAAAGACAATGTTCAGAAAAAGTTGACACTTGTCCAGCCAAATGCCTCTTAGGCCAGTACTCTTTACCAGTCACTGACTTATTACATCGAGCTGTCCGATGTCCACTATTTTTAGCCCTGATCACCAATAAGGTGGAAATAAAAGCATGCAAAACCACTAAATAGTATGACAGCTCACCTTGCATGCAATGCTGTTGATTCATTCTGAAAATCAATCCACATAAATAGTAATTGTAAAATTATGATTCAAAATTCTCAGTTAATTTCCTAGGGGTTAATATTGAATTTCCTTACATATTTATGATTATTTGTGACTTGAAATGCTATATTATGTGACTGAACAAATAATGTTTCATCCAGTTTTTTATTTATTTCTCTTTCCAGCTGGATTCAAGACAAGTAAGTAAATTTTAAAATTTAATATTATTCACCTTAGTACGGCTTGCGTTTCTCTTCACATTTTCATGTTTTTGTCACTTCCTGTATGCAGTATTACTTAATGGAGCATGGGAAAAAACGTTTTATTTCTTAAACGATAATTTTATTTGATGATATATATATGTTTAAGTTTCACAACTATTACTTTTATATTTAGTATTGTTCAAGCAGAATACTGGCATGATCCCTTGAATGAAGAAGAGTACAGACAGAAAAGTGTTTTTCTTGCTGACATCAACCAAGAGATGGTAAAGTGCAATATGATTCTATCATTGAATGCCTTCTTGTCTCATATTGTCCCCTCGAGAAGGAATTCTTCCAAACAACTTATCTTTGCCTTTCGATTTATCCGAAAATTGAGGAAACCAATAGAGTGCATACCATATATCCATGAAAAATTTAACTAATAAAATTGTACAAATTAGTGCAAAGTTTTGTAGGTCTACGGTCTGCTGAGGTCTACTGAACATACTAATTTGTGCAATTTATTACAAAGTTGTTCACGGATATATGGTATGCACTCTATGAATATAATACACAAATGTAACTTTTAGTGTATTTATTTTTTTTTAGACTGTGAACCAAAAGTACAAAGAAAACTTGATGAAGCTCAAGAATTTTGTGATGGTCATGTTTGCTAATGACACAATGGTGGATCCTAAAGAGTCAGAGGTAGGTCTAAGTTCTAGGCAGTAGGACTTTTCAGAGACAGGAAATTGAAATGTTCTGGTACGTCTTTGGCACAACATATATGCATAGTGTCATTCAAACAAAATCCAGACCAAACTCCACATTGCTTTACAGCTCAGAAAAAAACCCTGTTTTTTCTATTTCCTATATGTATGAATTTTTATATATACTGCCAATATTTTGAACTGTAATAATTGGAATGTGTTCATTTTTATAGTGGTTTGGGTTTTACAAGCCAGGTCAAGGGAAGGAACTGTACACATTACAAGAAAGCACACTTTATAAAGAGGTCAGTGAGGATGTACTTCTTGATTTAATTAATGTAATAAATAATTAATAAATATAAACAAAACAAATATACTTTATATTGATCTTAGTCAAGGTACGGCTTCACAGATAAAACCCTGAAACAACCTCTGGGATGGTCTCATTAGTCAGGGCTCAGATCAAAATGGAATTTATCATGTTGGGTTTTTGAATTCAGGAAAACTGGAAATTTGGAGGAAAAAACATTTAATCAAGGGAGATATCTAACAAACTCTACTTACGTGTAATGCGGAGTTCAGCAATCAAATGCGAGACTGGGGGAAATGGGGGAGTGCACTACCACTATGCCACCTTGATAACTAATGTATTATTTTGTATTATTTTTCTAAGGATCGACTTGGCCTACAAGAAATGGATAAAGCTGGAAAACTTCACTTCCTAGCAGCCATTGGTGACCATCTTCGATTTAGTGATGAATTCTTTAATGAAAAGATCTTGCCCTTCTTAAAATAAGTAACTATCAATATGTAGCTATTTTCAATCATATTCATCGCTCAAAATCAAAGTGACCTCACAGATGATGAAGTTTGAATTATAAGCTATACGAATTGTTATTCAAGATTTTCCTTAATTCTGCAACTCATTGATGTACTGTACTAGCATCTATACACAATATGCAAGCTTACTTTATAGAATGATTCATCAGTGTCTTATGTTATCTTTATGAGGATATAGAAATTTCATAAATGAACTGTTGCATCCAGGAAAAATGCCTCAAGCATGCTAGAAGATGCCATGTGTGAGAGTAATGGCATAACATTTGCAATGATGCTGATTATATACTTCCAGCTTATGTTGGACAATGCACACAACACACATATTAGTAAAATTTCTCAAAAGCAAAATTTATTCCATTTTTAAATATATCAATATCAAAAACTTTTTTTATCAAAAACTAATAAAACTTAGGAATACAAATGTATTGATGATGGCTAGTGATTTTCTTGACTTACATAGTATGATTAATTACCCCTTATAAAATTAATGGAACTGTTATCAGAGCAATCACCAAAACCCATTCTCATACCCACGTATAATATTACCATGTAACATGTCTATAGCAAGAGGGGTAAGAAGTAGTAATTAATACAAAAGTGTTGTTATTTTAACACCATTACGTCCACAAATATAGCTTGAGCAATATGTATCCTGGCATTATAAGGTTTGTTCTTGTACAAACATTTATTGCTTGGCAATGCTTTACATAATGTTGTTCATACCCAAGCTAGACCAGAATGCACCTTGAGTCAAACTTGGAAAATATTATTGGTACAAATAATTTATCCCTGTGAAATAAATAGCGTTATCCACTTTGAAACATGCGCGCAATAGCAACATGCCCAGGGGTAGGCTGCGTTCATAATGTATGACGGGGGGGGGGGGGGGGCAGGTAATATTTAGGTTTTTTACCAGTAAAATGGGGGCTTGAAAAATTTTTTCTGAGAATTGTGGAGATGCAAAAATTTTAGAAGAAGCTACGAGAGATTGCCTGGGGGGATAGCTATTAAATAAAAATGATTTAAAAAAATTTTTTTTGGAGACTTCAAGGGGGGGGGGGGTCTTAAGAATTTTTTTGTCATTTAAAGATTTCACCTGCCCCCCCCCCTCTGCCATACATTATGAACTCAGCCGTAGAGGTAAGAAACTGATGACATAACAGAACAGTAAATATGAAAATTTTGTTTCACTTCTATCCATCCCATGGTGACAAGATCTTATCTCTTCCAGTTCTAAACCCTTCATCTAATCCATCCAACATATTCATGTGTGGCTGTTCAATCTTAAACTCAAAAATCTCTATATTTTCCTTGATGCGATCATAATGAAATGACTTAGGGATGCAAATAAAACCCTTCTGGATGCACCATCTTAGCAGTACTTGAGCTGGACTTCTATTGCATTCCTTTGCTATCCCTTTTAGAACAGGATCATTTAGCTTTTTACCTCTCGTCAGAGGTGAGTATACTTGTACTGCTATTCCTTTTTCCTTGCAGTAGTCCACTAACCGTCTCTCCTGAAGGTAAGGGTGTACTTCAATTTGATTGACAGATGGGATGACAGAACTTTCCTGACTGAGTGCTTCAAGGTGATGGATGTTAAAGTTTGATACACCAATTGATCTGTGGAAATTGGAAAGATATGTAATATGTAATTGATTATACATAAATGAATCATGTACTTTGTAGTTCCAGAAAATATCCATACCCCACCCAAAGAGGGAATTGGAAATTCTGGATGGGAGGGGGGTCAGAAAAAACAAAATTACAAGATTTGTATGGAAAAAAATTGGAAGTTCCTCCGTAGTGGGGGTATGAATATTTTCTGGAACAACACATAAGGGGAGATTCCGTTAATTATTTGACATGTATACCGCTGTGAATATATTATGTTCGACAAGTATAATTTATGAAGTATGGCATCAAATATATTAAAGAAGGAAGAAGAAAAGAAAGATGAGCTTACCGGATGAGTCCAATTTCTTTTAATTTGATCATAGCTTTCCATGTTTGAACCACACTACCAGGAACGGGGAAATGAATGAGATACAAATCTACGAAATCAAGGCCAAGAAAATTCAGACTCTTGTCAAAAGCCCTCAAAGTCTCGTCATATCCATGATCAACATGGTAAACCTTGGTCACCACAAATAATTCTTCTCTGTTTAGTTTACTTTCTTTGATGGCTTGTCCCACACACTTTTCGTTATTATATCTAGCGGCTGTATCGATCTGTCTATAGCCGCTTTCTAAAGCCCAAAGAACAGCTTGTTTGGTTTGTTTTGGGTCAATGTCGTACACACCTAAACCAAAACGAGGGATTGGGACATTGTCATTTAGAAGCAAAGTTGAAGAAATGTTTAGGCGGACATGGTTGTGGTCATCCGATTTTTTCTCTTTAGTACTACAAATAAATAGAAACAGGATTACGATAAATAAATGAGGAATGCACAAAACCTTAATGATTCAAATACCCTGAACTGGAAGAACTACTGAAGGCTTTGTCAAGAACATGGCGGACTATAAATTTCTGGCGTTGTACAACCCTTGAAGGTCGTAAAGCATCAAGTACCAAACGCTTGAAGAACAACTTTCTCGAGCAAGACATCACGCGAAGAAAATGGTGGAAACTAAGCCAAGCTTATCATCAGATGAACAGATAAATCAAATATTGTGGATGCCGGACTCGACGCTAGACTCGGTTGCTTGATGTTTTTGTTTTCGCTGCATTGGTTGTGTCGTCATTTCCGGTTCACTAACCACAAAAATGCGCGGGAAAATGTACTTATTTGGTGCGGCTACGCCTCATTTCCCATGGATTAGCTTCTTCGCTTTGAGTATCCATGAGTTAAAGATTGTCCACATCTCAAAATTGATGTCTCTCAGTTCTTCATGACCAGAGGCTTCTAGAAATTTTAGGGCCATCCGCCATAAAGAAAACTTCCAGAATATAAGAGCTCTTACTCTTATATGCCCGTTCTTCCAGAATATTGATTCCCATTTTCCAATACTGAAATCAAGGGAGATTTTCATTTTTCATTTCACTCTTGGCACCCCTTTACTGGGATTCCTGTGGTGTTGTTTATTGTACCACGTGATAGACGAGACGTCATATTCCAAAAATACCAGAAGGTCAAACAGTAATGGCGTCCATCTTGGACCAAATCAATACAGTCACATTCAAAAGTCTTTTCCAACCTTTCCACCAGAATTTTCTCACATCATAAACACTTGGCTGCCAGAAAGAACAACTAAGATGTATTGCCTACAGTGGCTTTTGCCTCTGTTGCTTATTCCAAGGCCTATGAACCCGTTTATGTTGAATAATTATTCAATGTTTATGACGTTATATCTGGCAAGTTTCTTCCTCGAAAGACGCCCGTGTACCATTTGTACTGTCGTGTTCATCGCTGCAGTCTTTCTAATATGCTACAGTGGACTTGGGAACTGCTTATTCTTTTCTGAATGTTCGACGTAGCATTGATTTCTGGGCGGTAGAGCTCAGAATAATATGTCCACCATAAAACAGCTGATGTTACCGAACGGCGATCAAACCACACAAACTTGTTCGACAAACTTCGTAATGATTTAGTCATATACAAGACAAGATAAAGACCTCCAGAAACTATGCGTGGAGTCATTAAAAAAGAACGTACGTACGTACTTACTTTGAATGTCTACTCTTTCAGTGAATTTTCATTAATCGTTGGCCACCAAATCCAAAGCTTTACGACGTTCGAAGAAAACCATGGAAAATTATGATTCAATGTGGATGATTTCAAATTCGAAAATAAAACCAGGATCCTGTAATTATGTTCCATTTTATTCCATCTACAAGTAGCAAAGTCTTTGATTACGTACCTTAAATCTTAACTCAGCTTCTGGATTGGATTAGGCATAAATTATAGCTCTCTCAACGTTGAAGATCACGAAAATTTGATTTTGACGTCTGTAGTCTTAAAGTACAATTCAAGTACAATTTCATACTCAAGAAAAGGTTAAATCGCTAAAAGAATTCGACTAGAAAACGGTTTGGCAACCACAATGGATGGCAGATGAGTTTCTTTTGATTTAGAATTTGTGCCATAAAGACGTAGATGCCATACATAGTTGTCATAAGAGGGTCCATTTAATGGGAAAGGAGAAGAGAAAATTGCCTGTGCTTTTGCAATGATGCAACGATTTGCATGGAGTGGTATTCTGACAAATTGAGTATAAGAGTATAAATTGTTCCAAAATTCATCACTACTGAAAATGGAAATTTCAGCTTGGAAATGTGTGCAGGGCTTCAAGAATAAGCCGCCTCCCACTTTCTGGCTTTGAATTTATGCTACTGCTTTTTCTTTTTTATAAAAAATATTATCATTGATCTATCGGATCAACTCTACTCAATCGTCTGAATGCTATGCTAGTTTCTGTAAATTTGAATGTATTACTTGGCACGTGTATTTATTTGGCACGTGAAACAAAGCTGTACAATAGGCCCTTTGCAGCTAACGGTCACGTGTCTGTACTGGACTGCAAAATTTTTGTTTTTATATTAAATTGGTGATTCTTTTTAGCTACTTGTAAAGAACTGAATGAAAACATGTGTATCCAGTGTGTTACGAAATGCAGTTTTATTACGATCTCTCGAAAGCGGTTGTAGAAAGTTTGTTTGCAGTCTAGTAAATTTCACCCATGGGAATCAAGATGTTCATTCATTTGCTCTCAGTGAATTAATCAGCACATGATTGTTTAGCTGCAAAGGGCCTATTAGTGACTAGCAGTCAAAGAAAACACAAAAGAAAACAATGAAATTAGTGTCTACTACTAATATGTATGATGTTGACTATTCTTTCGCAGGCGAATTAAAATCACTCCAATGAGAGATTGCGTGCAAACACTCATATACCTTTCCCAATAGCCCTTTTGCAATAGATTGACACGTGATTGTTACTGGATGGCAAAAAAATTGGACTTCCTTTATTTAAAGATTTTTTGCTGAATTACTAATGTCGCATCCAAAACCTTTTCAAAAATACTTTTTTTCCCCTTATGAGATACCTTCAATTTCAAGATACGAAACAATTTAAAGTTTGTTTGCCATCCAGCAGAGCCTTCCCCAAGGTACCTTGAGCTGAATTGATTCATTAGTAAAGTCATATATCAGTACGTGACTGTTGCAAAAGGCCTGTTTGCTCAAGTGACCAATAAACAGTCGTACCAAGGTTGGACTTCATGTTTTCATACATTTGCATTTTTTTATCAGGTCCAACCTCGACATAGAAGGTTGATACATTTTTACTGAAGCAAATTCAGGAAAGATCTAATTTCTTTTCCAAGTTCTGTGAAAAAAGTAATAATTTTCAAAAAATACATGCCGTAAATCTTTTCCCACTCTGCAACAAATGAAATTTGGCAGTGAAATGATTCGTAAGACTGCTCTTGTCATTTGACATTTATACTTTAAGCATACGAAAAGAAATGTTTATAAACACTTACCAAAGGTCTTGCAACTGCAAAATATAAGATTAAGATTATTCCTAGGGATTTAAATGTATTATTTTTGTAAAATAGTTTGTGAATACTAAGGTAATATTATTTCTAAGGTGAATCCCTAGTGTAAGGCAATAAAGAGTTCATGTTATGATGTGTTTGAGTTTGATCATTTACAACTTGTATCAAAAGTTGGATCAGTGATATTGACCATTTGCATGCATTGATTTGCTATAAAAAGTTCATGTAATGATATGTTTGAGTCAAAAGGGAAGTACCGGTGACGTGCGCTGATAATGTGCCGCCTCTTACCAATGCGGCCCGAGTTCGAGTCCTGCCGATCTCGATGTCGTATGTGAGTAGAGTTGTTTGTTGTTTCTCTCCTGTGCTTCGAGGGTTTTTCTCCGGGTTCTCCTGTTTTCCTCCCTACTCAAAAATCAACTTCTAAATTCTAATTCGATCTTTGGGCTTTGGAGCCTAGCTCTGTTGTGATTGTCCCACGCTGTGATACAACAGCAAAAGCTTTGTAGAAAAAGTGGATCAATGATATGATGTTTTTACATTACAAAAAGTACAAATTGAAGGAGGCATGTTTGGAAAATCTTTCATCACCATGTTAAGTGGCATAGATCAGTAATTTTCTTGTGGCAACAACATGGACCTTGAGTGGTCAAGGCCAGTTTGAGAAAAGTGTGTGCTGTAAGGTGAAGGCTTCCCCTTCAAATGGCAGATAGAGGATTTTGAGGTTCACTGCAGTAAGTTAAATACTATTTTATTTGTTCTGTCCTATCAAAGACAATAAGCAATCTTGGTTGTACGAATAATCATAGATATTACAAAATTTGACATGATGAATGCTAAGTACTGTGGCAATACAAGCAGAACCTTTGTTACAGAGTGTTACATTTACCAGTAAAATACACACTAATAATTATGAAATATCTTTCTCTTACTCATTATTTATGAGGAAAGGAGCCAATCCCATTGATGTATTTGGACCACATGATGCTACTGGAAACTAAGAAAAGATTCTGTAGTAACTGCAATGAACTAGGACTGAATTAATTTTGTTCCAGCTACTCCAAGTCAAATAATTAATGAGCATGAGAAGTCATTTCAAAGCCTCCAATATCGGACTGGACGAGATTTCAAGTCCGCGCAATTAGTTCCAGTCCTTGGCTTTGCCTTGGACTGTAACTAATTATTGCTTGGACTTGAAATCTTGTCCAGTCCGATATTGGAGGCTTTGAAATATTACATGAAGTGTTGTGTTATCTCAGTTATCTTAACCTATAAAGTTAAGTGTTTCAGTACATAAACATTTTACTAATATTTCTATTGCTTTTTCTTAGTTCTGCAAACTTTATATCAAACTTCTCCCATTTCAGGTTACAGTTAAACCTTTTGTCCCAACACACAAATATTCTGGTCTAGTCAGGATTCCCAGAGTCTTTTCCTCATCTTACTTCCCTACTTCCTTCCTTCTTGAGGTCAAAGTTTTTAAGTAGCATTTTCAAGGTAGCTGCATCAGCTCAAACCTAAACCTGCTTCTTGTAGGTATTTCTGTAAGAATGTAACGGCATCCTGATGCAGTTTTTCAGTTATAATTGGCATTACCTACGAAAATTGACAAGCCATGAGTTTAAGATTAATTTTCAAAGCTTTACAGTAGAATTCCTACAGCTCTGCATTTTTCAAATTTAAGTTGGATTTGTAGTGGACATGTAATGGAAATATCCCAGGATGGTTTGTTGTAAAGCAAGGTGAATGTGTTGTTAACTGTTTGACTACAAATCTCACTGAAGTTTGAAAAAAGGTAGCCATACGAGGAAAATCTAGTAAGAGAATGTTGCAAATAAGTAGAAAATCCAAATTAAGTTTTACTAGTGATTTCCAGGAAATTGTGGTGATTATACCAAATGTTACCTTTCCTGGGTTTGCCTGTGAAAGAGTCACCAGTGACTGGACTAGATACAGTTTAGCATTGGGAATGCCTCCTCCAAACGGATCATTCTCATTTTTACCAGCATATATTAACTTGGAGTAAGCTGTCTGATATCCTGTCGGGAGGAAATCAAAATTGTTATGGATTTTAAACATGACATCAAGCCAGTGTAGAATGGTACCCATTATTTTATTGAATAACTAGATAGTGTAAAAAAAAAAAGAAGGAAAGAAGGTAGGAGGAATAAGGAAGAAAAGAAAAATAAGGCAATAATCTTGAATAAATGGATGGATGGACGAATTGATGGATGAATGGAGTGATTGATGGAAAAGGATGGATGCGTGAAAAATGGTAGGGTGAAGGAATGGATGATTGGATAAATAAATGGATGGGAGTACAAATGGATAGATGGGAAGTTGGATGGATAGATGGGTGGGTGGGTGGATGATGTAATGGATGCCTGCATGGATGGGTGGATTAATAGATATGTGGATGGATGGGTAAATGAATGGGACATTATCCAAATAAAGCAGCTTCAGATGACTCGTTCTCTTCTCATTCAGTCCCACTCTGAGTTTTTTTTAAAAAGTCTTTATTTTTGAAGCATTAGAAGGCTACTTTCGTACCTGGTGTGTCCTCTATCTCAATAAAGTGCTCATCATCTGGAACAGAATCATCTTTTGGAAGTTCAAATACTTGAATCAATGCTTGTAGTAACCGGCCCCTAAAAAGCCAACCAAAATGCAAAATTAGCAACAAATTTTCTATAAAAGCAGAATTTTACATTACAATGGACCATTCCCATACTACCAAATGAATCATGCTACAGACTCAAGAGGTATTAAGGGAGCATTTAGTCCTTTAGTTATCTTTGAAATGCCAGGGACAGTGGAATATAGTTTTGAGTTGGGTGCCTAACTGGCAAGGGAATATTGTTAGGGGTGGGGGGAGGGGAGGGGTGGGGGTGAGGGATAAAGACTCCTTGCCTTGGAAATCCCTGTATGCATGGTTGACAGCAGAAATGAAGGCAACTGAATTCTTCTAGAAAACAGAAAAAAATTCAAAGCCTCAACTAATTCTTACCAGTGATCTGGATATCTTGACCAAGTTGCTGTTGGTTCACACAGTAGTTTGGTTATACCCACAGCACATATTTTTCTTTCCATGTCACCTGAGACCTGAGTGGATGTAAAAATATATTCCTTTTACTTATCCACACTCTTCTTTACATAAATGAATATCTAAAATCTAAGTAACAGCAAACAACATGACCCCTAAATCAGTGTTGGTAGGGTTTTGGTAGGTTGTCAATAGGATAACAGTAGCTTGGCTGTAGGGCACTATATATTGTCTGTAGGGTGTCAGCAGGTTGTTAGTAGGGTATCACTTGGTTGTTAATAGGGTATCCGTAGGTTGTTAATAGGGTATAAGTAGTTTTGTCAGTGGGTGGAGGGGGACTGTGGAGGGTATGTTGTCAGCATGGCTTATACCAGTGTTGATAGATTGTTGGGGGGCATTAATTAGTCTTATTATTCAAGTTGTTACAAAACAAATGCATTTCTTATTTTGATACCTTCTGAATATCAGGGATGAAATACTTTTCAATTATTGTCCCAAATAGTCTGTAAAAATAAGAATTTGTAAAAATTGTTGTCAGTGTGGAAGATGGTGATAATTAATTTTCGTTTGAGAATAGAACATAACTTACTTTGGTTGAATGCCATCAACAATATCAATGAGGTCTGTCCCAGTGTTCTTGACAGCATATAAACAGAAAAACTCAAGAAGACCTATTGATGCAAAATTATAGTTATTTGAAACCTTTTTCTAATACTAATAAGTAGTGTGGAGAGGAGAGGAGAGGAGAGGAGAGGAGAGGAGAGGAGAGGAGAGGAGTTCTAGACAGGAGGTGACAAAATTTCAATCAAACTTACCTTTGACAAATTTTGTAGTCTTGGAGCTCTGAAGGCGATGGAAAAGCAATATGAAGATTTTAGGTATGTAGTTGACAAGGACCACCCTTGAACAAGATCAAATCATAAAGTTAAAATTATTTCTTAGGGATACGAAATTGCAAGCCAAGCATGTCAGGTTAATTCTGGCTATGATGAAAATAAAAAGCCCTGTGAAGATTGGTGCCTGGTTCAATTCAGGTGATTGCTCACTCATAAATTGAACCCTGAAACAGCCTCTGGGCTGATCAAAATCAGGACATGACTAATTTCCAGATCAAATTGGAATTTAGCTTGTTAGTTTTTGCAGAGGGAAAAAACCTGAGAACTCAGAGAAAATTCCATGAATCAAGGGAGAGATATAATGCAGAGTTTGGTTATCAAGACCCCAGAGGTGAGAGACAAGCGCACTACTGCTACTCCACATTTAATTCCATAAGAATAATCCCTTTCCATAAAACAGTTTAGCTAAGTATTACACTCACCTGTCCATGTTTTCAACCATACTACTCAGTAAATAGAATCCTTCATGGTCATTCAATTTTGATGCAATAAGCTTTTGAAACACACCCAGAATAGCATCCTGAAGAAAGAAAACACTTGACAATACTGATGCTTAAAGTCCCTATTATCAATGGTGATCAGCAATGGTTGGTCCAGCTGCCTCAATAAACAGCAGTTATCAACAATGTCCAGCCGCCATGTCTAGATCAATCCATTGGTGGACCATTATTGGTCAATTAATCTACACTTAGCTGCTTTGAGAACACAACATTTTGATTCTAATGGGTAATAAAATTAATCTTACCAAACTGTTACTAGCTATTATCAGCTTACTGCCCTTTTGGATATAAGCCTGTAACAGCCTCACTAACGGTGGAATATTCCCTGCCAGTCATAAGAGAGTATATTATTAATTAGTATAATTAAAGAGTTTTGTGTGCTGTGATTGGGGTTATTCACCTAAGGCTTAGTGAATATGAGGAATAATTACCTTGCTGTTCAAAGACTTGTGCCTCTATAAATATTCCCAATATTCACTTTGCCTTTGGCAAATAATTTTCAATAATCCAGTTTCAAATATCTGTTGCTGAGTGGTAGCATCAATTTTGCTTAAAAATACTTGATTGTTCCGGCATGAAACACACTTAACTGCTGGTACTTGTGAATATGTTAACACTGAAATGAGGCTACTACTGAAGTACCTGTACGTTCCCATAGTAAAGGAGTCAGCAATAATGGGAAAAGCTGCATATATGGTTCAGGAATGTCATCCAGTCGAATCTCCAGCAACAGCGATAACACTTGGAATACATAAGGTAGGAATTCTAAATAGAAAAACAATAAAGATCAGGAACATAAATGAATAAATGACATTAAAACAGCCACTGAAATTAAGATTTGCAAAATCTAAGACAGCAATGCCAAGACATTAAAGTAGATATAACTAGCTAAAAACTAGTGTGAGCTGCGTCGGTGTTTCTAATGAAACAGTAATGATAAAAAGGTTTCAGACGCTAGTCCTTCGCCGGAGTAAAAGAGAAAGAGGTGGTAGAAAGGAGTGTTTATATGATAGAATAAGATAAAAGAAACCAATGGGAACAAGGTATTAAGGCATTAAAGTATTTAAGTCAACTGACCCACAGGGAAGACAGACCTTGAAGGAACAAAACCCCAAAAGCAAGTTATATACGCTTTAGGCTGATGTAACCATTGTAGATTTTGCAATCTTAAGTCCCCTAATTTATGACCAATTTATGATAGTATGAGAAACAGTAGAAAACCATAAAAACCATACCTGTCACATCATTGCTGAGGATTTCCTGGAAAATGGGAAAGAGGGCCAGCTCAAACTTTGCAACAAGTTGAGGGTTAGATGCACACGTGGTCCTGTATACAAAGTATTGAACACTATTAGTCAAATTAGAATATAACATCACTTCAAACTCATCAGTGAAGATGAGCTTGGAATAGCAGATGTTACAGTTACACTCCATTGCCTTCAATGGATTAATGCCTCAACCTCAAAAAAAAAGTTTGATGGCAAAAGTGTAACTATAAAATCTCCTATTAGGTGCTTTAGCTAGCTGTACTGGAAGTGCCAGTTCAAGCATGGCAAGGAGGTAACCATGGCAACCAATGATCCACCATCTAGCATCTCTCACACTGACAAGACTATCAATGGAGAACAGCCACATTAAATATGGCAAACACTGTCTCAACCAAAACAGGGGCTAAAAAGTGCCAGTGCTATAGGTATTTGGCTTTTTTTTTTATCATATGTCTGACCAGGGGCGGGACCAAGAATAGGGAGGGGCTGGCAAGGGTGTATACTTCCCACTTCTTGCTAATAAGTTCTACTAGATTTCCAATTCTTAGCCCCTCAGTTTTTAGTCTTGCGTACACTAGTCTGCTACTAAGCCCACCCCTACTTTTTAGGGTGTTGTATGATCCTTGTATTGATATTTCATTTTTACATAAAATAAATTAATACTTCGTTCACCAGGGTGTAGAAAGATACTGTGAGGGAAACTAAGTTTCTGCAATGTTGTGAACATAAAACAAGTGAACCAACCAGAGCATGGAATCTAGATCCCTAAGGAATACTGTCCATTGCACTTATAATGAGACTAATATGAATGCACTGGCTATAATTATAATTACTGGTAACACAGGTAAGAAAAAGAGAAAACCAACAATACCTGACCATACAGCAAATACTCTCAAACAAGTAATGGTTAAAGTGGGGCTTACTGGGATTCTGAAAGGTGACAAACAGTTGAGTTACTACAGTAATATATTCCCATTTAATAATGCATTATGTAATATGCCATTCAGAGATTCTGGAAAAAACAGTGGCAAGTTAGCATTGCAGTGCATTGTGGGGCTGTTTTTGGACATTTCCAAGATGTTGTCTATTTCATTCCCTAAGATGATCCCATAATGCACTGAAATGCTAAGTCGACCCAGTTTTTGCCTCAAATTTGGCTAATAAGTACTTACCTTTGCAACTAACACAAGCTTTTCAGATATCTTAAGCAAAACAGGATCCAGGAATGGTAAAATGGTTTCTTGTAGTAGGGACAGTGTCCTCATTATTGCTGGTGAAAATATATTCATAGGTTGTAGACTATTAGAAGTAGTATTGTTTAGAGTAACATTTGGTTACATCTGTTTTACACCGCTAAAACTTAGTGTAAGCATGTTGCACATGATAGTTGTGGGGGAAGTGTGTAAATGGACTTTAAGGATGGTATGTGGTCTGAAATAGCACAAGGTAAAGAAGTCTATTCAAACCTTTCATGACATATTCATTTTCCTCAGAGCCATGTATGGTGAGAGTACCAAACAAATTCTGAATTAAGTCATTGACAATAGGAGTAACTTCTTCTTTAGTTATTCTAAAAAATAATGTATGAAAAGTATGATTAATTTACGATATTTAATATAAATACACATGGAATGAATGAATGGATAGATAGATGGGTGGATGAATGGAATGGGATGAATATGTGGATAGATAAGGTAGAAAGGATGGATGGGATGCATGAATGATTGAATCGCCAGCAGATGGATGGAAAAAGACAGGATGGATGGATGAGAAGCATGAAATGATTGAATGGATGGATAAATGAAATGAATATATATGGAGGTATAAAATAGAATGGATGGATGGAATGGATGTCATGCATATGGATCGATGGATGTATGGGATAGAGGGATGGATGAATGGATAAATGGAAGCATAGTCAATTGGTTGGGTTGCCAAGACAGAAAACGGGAAGGACTGAACTGTGCAGGCAATAATTACACCCTTAATACTGTATATTTTTGCACACATGGTTACTTACGGTACTCCTCCACCAGGATTCTTGAGTGTAAGAAGTCTCTCCAAGCAGTGCGCAGCATAGGTATGCACAACCATACTTTTAGCCTTGAGGTGTTGCATTAGAATTGGTATCGTATTCACTAATATCTCACGAGAAAGCTGTTAATAAATAAAGGAACAACTTTATACTTCTTGTGTAACTTTGGCAATCCAGTAGAATCAACTACATGGTTTACAGACCATGCCTTAACAGAATCTTTCATTGCTATAGCTCAACATTGAATGTTGATTGTATGGAATTGCTGAATTTAAGCAGAAAGTAAATTTGAAGTTCGGCAACAAATTTCATGGTGAACTTCAAAAGCAAGACTTGAACTTTGTAATGAACTTCAGAATCCAGTCATCAAAAGTTATGTGAAAGGCACTATAAAAGCCAAGAAATAAGTACTAATACTGTCGGGAATGTTTAACTTACCATACTTCTAAATGTTATAACATACTTAATGGAGTCTGCCTTCAGGACAGGATGTTCGTCAACTGATGATTAAAGCAATATAAATTTAGTTAATAATGCTGTCGGTGGTATATATTACAGTCATGATGCCCCCTTGTCATGACTCCATCATGACGCCCCCCTGCATACCACGGCACCCCTATTCTGTACTACCATGACGTCCCCAGTATAAACCATGACACCCCTAGTCTCTATTATCACTCATTTGATAAGAAGTTTAACGATTTGAGTTATATTCAATAGTATAAATCCAAGCATGTCAAAAAAATATGGAATTGGAAAAAAGTTGATAACAAAATTCGGTAAGTCCGATGAATTAAGGTTTAATTAGAAGGAATGATTTCATACAAGCGTGAAATGCTTATGGTACATTCTGACAAGGTCCTGGTATGGTATTAACAGCCAATCATATTTTGGGAGGTTACCGTTCATCTTATCATAATTCTTGGACAATGCACAATGGAGTACAAGTAGAGTCACATGAAATCTGCTTTGTGGCAATAACTACCACAACCACAACAACAACAACAACAACTTATTTTGATTCATCCTCATTTTTTATAAATGGAAATTAAAAAAAAAATTCTTTCCACTGGTTAGCCACTTTTTTTCTCCCATTGTTTTCTCCCATTTTTCTCTTCCTCAACATCAAACTTCTTTCAATATTCCTCTAAATCATGAAATATTTGTTAAGGTTAATGGTACAAAATCTTACCATTCTTTCTCTCAAGCTCAGGATAAATGTATTTGGTGTAAAAGTCCTGCAAGTTGAAGAACTCGCTTGCTTTTGTGGTGCCATGCTGTAGGTACAAAGTACAACAATTTAGGTAGTCATCTTAACTTAACGACATAATTTTTCCAAGAATCATTCTTATATTGGTTCTAATTAAAGATGTTGAACCTCCATTTACTTTCTTCCCTTCCCTTTCTCATTTGTTTATTCATTTAGTGTAGCTTTTGTCATCTATGAGCAATAATAAAATAATAAAAGGTGAGGACAATATACCTTTGCAGTTTGTTTTTTAGATGCCAGTGAGGTGACTAGGAAGATAGCAGCATCCTTGGACTTCCAGTTCTTTTGATTGGATGTCTGGTATTGCTGTCATACAAAAGAAGTGTGTAAATAAATAAAATGGTCCTTGTTTTACCTGTGAAGCACTTAATAACCAGTGGCTAACAAACCTGTGGCACTTGTTCCATGATCGAATTGAAATTTAGAAGTTGAGTTTTTACGGAGGGAGGAAAACTGGATAACCCTGAGAAAAACTCTTGAAGCACAGGAGAGAACCAACTAGGATCTCTACAGAACGCAAGATTTCATAACAGTTATTTTATGAGAAAAATTGGGAAGCACAGGTAGAGTGACTGCTAATGCGCCTCTGCCTCTCACTAATGCAACCTGGTTTGAGCCTTTTGAGAACCAGGTTCTCTGGTTTTTCCTCCCACCACAAAAATCAACTTCTTAATTCTAATTCAATTTATGAGCTGCCTTATCAATTAAGTTGCAACACCTGTTCTTAAGGCCATCCACTCCGGAGTGGTAAATGCACTGGATTTAGATTATAGATTATCTTACCTCCAACAATACCATCACATAATGATGAAATATAGCAGTAACTGGTTGTTCATGGAACTTTGATAAGCCTCTCACGAGGTCACATGCAGCTCTTCTTCTGGTATCGACATCTAAAAGAGAAAAGCAACAGTCACAAGGTGAAGTACTCCCAGCAACAAATTCAGGCAACTTGACACACAGCATTGCCATGGAGTACTCAATGTATATGCCACTCATATCAGCACTCCGTATGCTACAAACTTGGTGTCTATAGTTTTATCTCAAGCATCTGAGTTTTGGCTTGCATCATCGTGTGATGGCAGCCAAGTTGAGTGGTAGCAACAGAACAATCATTTTACATGACAAAGAATTCACATTATGAGACCCATGAATAAGAGTATTTCGCAAGAAGATGGTAAATACAGTTTAACATTGTAGATACAGTCTGATAGGGCATAAAATTCAATACCTGATCCTTCTATATCTCGTCTGATGTATTCTTCTGGATTATCTTCAAATATCTCCTCATCTTCATCTGGAAGTAAAGAATCATTCTATCAAGATTTTAACCACAATAGACCTATCCCGAATTCGCTTGACTGACCACAAAATAATGGTTTCAAGTCTAGGTTGAACTTGATGAACAAAATGATAAAGTCCAGTCTTGACTTCAAACCATTGTTTCGTGGTCAGTCAAGTTAATTCAGGAGAGGTCTATTGGGATGCTGCTGGAAAACTTGAGAACCTGGCCTGAAAACAAATCTGCTTTATGCTGTGGTTTCCTAGATGCTAGCCTCATATTCTCTCATCTCTAGATCTGAGTATCTTAAAAGCAAAAACTGTCTTATATTTCCCAAATCTAATTACCAACCTCTGAACTCCATGTTGGGAACAATCACTTTTTCACAAATACTCTGTAAGGTGTCTTGAGCTTCAAATAGGTTCTTGTAGTTAGGCCTTTCAGTTACTGAGGCTAGGAACTGGATGGCATTGCTAACAAGCTAAGGTTGGAAAAAACAATTAAGACATTAAGATCATTAATAAACCATTTAATTCATTTCTAAGAGATGTAATAATAATAATAATTATAAAAATAATAATAATAACATTAACATAGTGTAAATCAGATTAACATAGTGTTTGACTTTCTTGCAGGACATCACGAACAGCTAAGAAAAGACCTAAGAACACACTTAAAATACAGACAGGGAAGTGAACTTTCTTATAGAACACTGCCAGAAATGGATTTTAAGCCCGAACTGTAATATAGTTAAGAAATTCTATGAATATGCATAAACTGAAGAAAGGATTATAAAAAATGATGAACTTAACCAGCCTAGACTAATAGTCCGCTGGTCAATGTAAACATGATATATACAGACAAAAAAAACTTGCCATAATAATAATAATAATAATAATAATAATAATAATAATGATAATAATAATAGTAATAACAATAATGATAATGAAGATGATAATGGCTTTTATTTAAACATAAATTATGTGGTTTGAACAAAACAAGGCACATTATAGCCCAGAGGATAGATAGAGGAAAACACTCATTCATGTGTTTAAAATGGGTTGAAAGAATAAAGTTAAACTTACCAGATCATGCTTGACGTGTGATCCTGTTGTTATTAGCAAGTTCCAGATGGCTTTTACAAATTCAGGGAGATAGGACTACAGAGAAAAAAGATTCGAAAGATTTTTTTTGGATTTGATCAAGTTTTCCAAAAATATGGGTAAAATGTTTTTTTTTATTGCAATAAATGACTATATTTCATGGCAATTATTGACCTCTTTACATTGTTTTACATGTACATTAACATAAAATGTTTTTCCATTTCAGTCCACATGTCATTTTCTTGAGAATAAGATTCTATGTTTAACTTGTATCCATATTTATGTGTCTTTTCAATGTGCAACTGTTAAACAAAGAAAACATACTCTAGGGAATGACACATGGTCTGAAATGGGAAAACACTACGTACATCCACGGTAATAATTGATAAGTATACCTCAAATTCTTCATCATATTTCTGGGCGTAAAGTGCAACATTGTCACAAATTTGTGACTTGACAAGTTCCAGAAGGCTGGCATCTTCGCGATCCTGATATCAAAATAAATTGCAATATTAGTATGGTTTCAAAGGCTGAAAATGAGGTAAATTTGGAGATAAGAGATGGTCTGGTTTCACACTGTTCAGTAGCACAATTATATATACTTTCAGGTCATTGTACTCAGATAGAGTATATGACGAGAATTTTTTTGAAGTCATACTTCCTTTAATCAATTTGTACCCCTTAATATAACGAAGATTAACCAGTCAGTTGGTCATTTGTTAGATGAAACATTGTAGTCCTTTATAACATAGCATGAAATATATCTTTGCTTGGTCACTATTATTTTCTCTTTCTTTTCACCCTGGGAATGATGGGAAACACAAAAAACCTSATTTCACGGCACATGGGTCAACGTCAAAAAGGTGAATTATTGATAGAGTCAGTGAGAAATATTTGACTTGATAATTAGTGATGTTGACTTACTTCTGGGTCAAGTATCTTGTTGTCAAGTGACAGCAGTATGAGGAAATTCTTCATCCAAACTTCCATGTTGTCCTCAAAATGCTCTGGTAAATCCTGCCAAGACAATTGCAAGGAGCAACAATTTAAATGAAAATCTCTCTGGAATACAGCGGTGATTTATTAACCTTTAAATGATCACTTTTCATTTAGACGGACTGGAKTTTTGGATATATAGTCAAGGTTACTAGGCAACTAACCATGGAAATGTAAAATTAAACCAATGACTGTATACAAAATCGAGCTTGTTTGTCATGCAGCAGTCAATGTTTATTCTCATGAGAATTAAATCCTGTGTTCTGCGGCTGTGCAAACTCTTCCTAAAGTGTTTGAAGGCATGGCTAGCTGGGCAAAAATCTTATTTAATAGGCAACATGGCTGCTGCATAAGAAAAGACTATTGTGGATCAGTTCTTTAGAGCAGAGTTTGCACATCTTTGTAATGGCAGAGCACACAGCCTGGCACATGCATAGCACTGCCACATTGGAGAATTGACAGCACCCCTTGATCTAAGCACAACCACTAAGATACAACTGAGCCAGTGAAAATGCTTGGACATAGTACCATCTTAGCATAACCTCTTAAGATTATGCACATTTAAGAACACTGCAGGTGAAAAGGGCATCTCTGCCACTGTTCTAGCATTTTACGTATAGTGCACATGCTACTTCAGGACATCTTTTTGCAGGCCACTGCATACTAAGGTCTGCCAGTTAAATGGGCTTACCTGAAAGTTTAGACTGTAGAAAAGCTTGCATATAAGAAGAATAGAGCTGAAGATAACTTGTAGAGTCTTGTGATCCCCACCACATTTATTTGCATTCTCCAAAATGGCCTAAAAACATAAAACATGTTGAAGCCTATAGACTAAAGAGCACGGTCTTTCTCCTCACCAACTTCATGGTCACCCATACATCGCATGACTTCACAAAATACGACCAATCCAAGAGCAATAGTATAAATATATATGAAATGGTTAGCAGAGTCATTGCATATTGGGAGGGGTCTTGGCATAGGGGGTCATGTAAGGGACCAGTCATCATTTATGTAAGAAGGAGGGGGGGTGGGGGATGAGAGGGGAAATGTTTTTGATGTAAAAACTTTTCCAGACCCCAGGATACCTAATAGCATTCATGTTTTTCACGTACCTCCTTCAATCGTTTAAAACATCCTCCCAATCCTCCTTTTGACCTTTCAAAGCCCCCCATTTTCCACTAAAAAGTTTTTAGGGCCTCCCATTTTCTCCTCTCACCCCCCCCCCCCTCTTCTAACTTAAATAATGAATGGTCCTCAAATGGGGGGTTATGACCAGTCACCAACTAAAAAGCATAAATTCAATCAGAGTTTTATTATGCACTCCCCAGAAAGTAATAAAATCTGCTGTAATTGTGATATATATATCTCTCTTTACGTCGATATATAGATCTAACTTTACTTTAAATACTGATAGAAAATAACTAAAGTTTAAATATTTCTAGATTATTGTTACAGTACCTTGAACAGGTTTGTTAGTGGCTGAGCGAACTGTTCCAAAACTAACTTGATTTCCTCCCAAAGCTCTTGTGATTTGAACTCGTGCCGATACCTGAGGATAAATAATTAATGCAAGGCAAAATACATTACTGAGTATACAACATGAAGTGGGATGAAAATATATTTTGAATTATTGGCTAAAACAAACCTTTTAAATAAAGAGTGTGCAGTGACTAGGACTCCATTAATGATGTGAAAATCACCACTTTCAAGTCTCTTGACCATTTCCTAATAAAATAGATGTGAAATATTTATTAACAAACCTTTCAGAGATATTAAAATAAATAGAAAAAGAACAAATGGGAAATGGAATGAGTAATGAAGATTAGGAATGTAGGAAGGTCTCATCAGTCTATAGAGGGGGCTTTGTATCATTTTCCTGCCAAATCCACATGAAAGCAAACTTTCAGGCGGGCATGTGCATGTGCCCCCCCCCCCCCCCCCCCCCCCCCCCATCCAAATTAATGGAGATAAAAACAAGTACTAAGTACTACTTACAGGTAAAAGGGTGTCCCATTTCTTTGGAAAATCTTCATGTCCAATGATACTGATAGCATCACTTAACTAAACAAACATCAAGCACCAAATTATTGTAAAAAAAACATTTATAGTCATGGTACAGTATATCAATATTTATAGGGTTTTATTCAAGAAAGAGTTTCTTTCTACATGTAGTGTACCTGTTTTTGCAGTTTCTCTGGACTCTTCAGCATTAAATCAACTATTTCTCTTTTCACTACAGATAGAAGAATGAAAAAATCTCATTAACTAGGAGATATGAAAATTACTATACCACTCATTCCAGACTTCTGCTTTTTAGCCATCATACATGTAATATCAATGCTCTGAGTCTAGTTATTTTGCAGATTTTCAGATGTCAAAAACCAAGACATTTAGAGTTACAGAGCTACATTAGAGGTCAATGCCAGGGCTTTCAGAATGTTTTGGTGTAGGTGGATTATAAGTCAGAAGTAGCTGGCTGTGATCCGATGCAAAGAACAGAAGGTATTTAATAGAAAAGAAAAAGTAGCTGGAGGTTAACTTCAAAGCAATCGCCAGAGCTCCTGCAACAGCCAGCTTATTCTGAAAGCCCATTACCGAACTATGAAAATGGGATAGGAAGATGGAGCTGTCATCTTCTTAGATAAAAGCATAATATATATATATAATAATAAATTGCTCACCTGCAGCTCTATCTGCTTCATTTATTTTAATTGGTTCTCCTTCAATCTATTAATTTTAATAAATAAATAACTTTTAATAATTTTAGAGGTTATAGTCTTAATTAATTCCTGCAGAATATTCAAATTTCAAAGTGTATTGTTGAAGTTGTGCAATCCTTACTTTACTTTGCGAACATTCTAATACTGAAATGAGACCAACTCTGGGCAAATGAGACTGTTAAGGGACAAACTAATATAATATGAATTTGAAAATGGCCTATTCTTCGTAATATAAATCATACTTTGTAAGCTATTACTTACAATTCTCCAGCATCTTTTAACCATGTTTTTAAATGTAACGGTAGCACACACTCTTATGGTCATATCCACATTCTGATTGTTTGTGATCTTTAGCAACATAATAGCAAAGTTAGGTGTTCCCTCCACTGATTCAAGAAACTTCTCAGCTATACAAACACAGAGGAATAAAAAAAAGTTACTCAAGTGCCAATGCATTCATCTACTATTCTGCTCCTCTAAGGTGAAAGAGGAGAGCAAGGGAAATGAATTTTGAGTTGGCTAAGGAGGGCTACTGTGAAAGGAAAACGAAGGGAAGGGAACAGAGGGATAGGAAGGGAAAGATGTTTAATTTTAGACCACTTCCGTGATATACTTCACTTGTCATGCACAAAGATTTACGGTATATATGACTTACACTCTGCTAACACCCAAAAAAGTATGTTAATCTCTAAAGTTACGTACATAAGTTACGTACATTCTGATTATCTAGGTTTCAACCATGTAACATTTAAAATTTTAGTTTAAATACTCGTACACTATTTATCTAATCAACATCTCTTTGTCAGATCGACTCGTTTTCGCCATGTTTCGTAGTAATCTAATCAAGATTATTTGTACAAATTTCCAAGAAAGCTTGTACAAGTCGACACAAACAAAAAGTTAGCCAAACTAATTCTAAAATGATGTGTAGTTCTTTCGTTAAGCCCTGTAAAGTGTTCATTAATCCACAAAAGTATGTTAAACAAGCAAATTTTGTTGTAGAGAAGTAGTTTTTCGAATCGTATAAACGTTCAACTCACCCTGTTTTCTTATCGTTGTGTCGGGAGACAACGTCTGCTGCAAATATCCCACAAGGGTCTGTAAATCCGAGTCCATTTTGAACAGAAGTCTTTAATACAACATGCAGAATCCTTTATGGTGGTTCAGAGTTCGATTGGCGAATGCCAAAGTGAATTAAACGTTGAAGTTTTGAATGAAGATCTTTTTAGTCTTTTTAGCTCACGTTTTGAAATGTCAAGACTTTGAGCGGGATCTACCGAGCTGATCACGTGTGCTGCCTATGGAACCAGGTCAACACAGGGATACCACTCATAACCTTTAAACTCTCAGATTAATCGGAAGGGCGTACGTACGCGAAGGATATTTATTGTCAAATATTGAATTGCTTAACGACAATAATAAAACAACTAAATGAAATGGTGGACAAAACCTAGACATATCAGTTGGGGGCACCGAGTTATTTGTTTAAAATATCTAGTGTCGTCGTTTGCTTAAAACTTTTTAAAAATGTATCAGTTACCCACACCACACTCCACCCCCAAAAAACCAATTAAGACAAACAAAGACAAACCAAATCTATCGATGATGCATTGAGGGAACTTTATTAAATATCTTGATATTATATAAAATGAACACGGCATTTGAGTTTATGATTCTTTTGATTCATAAATAAGAATATGGACCGAAAAATTAAAGAAACCTGATATAAACACCTTTATTAACTTTGAATCCCTTGTGATTTTACTTCACAGTATCTATGTATGGGTTAAATTTTCAAACTTCACTAGAAATCATTTGACAGATAGACATAATCTGAACCCATTTTATGGGAATTTTTTGTATGAAAAACATTTTTTATTAAAAAAAGATGCAAAATATATTGAAGCCAGCCGCAAGTATAGCTGACTTCTGATCGGAGAATTAAAGATAAAAAACAAGAAGGGGAAGACCTATTTCTTATTTTAGCGTTACTTGTACCACAGGTAGCCCAAAAGCAACCACATATCGAATGCTTGGGCCATGTGTTTACACTTAAATTTGAAGGACTGAAAAACGAAAAGCAGGTTCACGCACATAAGGTAATACCCTTTCAAGGGAGAGGCCTAACAAGCACTACTTACAAGGAGTCCAGAACCCGAGACTTCAGAGGTGAAGCAAGTGCATTTCATGAAAAGCACTTGACTGACGTCATCCAAAACTACTTTGTTGTGAAATGGATCCCACACGTTATTTAGCGAAAGTAAAACAGATATAATTGTTTTTCCACTATTCATTTTTCAATCACTTCTAGATTTGCGTAATTTTTGACCTAATTCGTAAAAACATTCAGACTTGCATGGGTATCTTTTCCGTCTCTAGAAAGAGGAAGAAAACCTATGAAAGGCATCATTTAATATAAATATATAAAAGTACACACTTATCACAATTCTTCATCCGATTCTTCTGGAATTACTCCCAACAACTTGGCACTCGCTGCTGACTGTCTATTGTTGCCTTTCCAAAACAACCGTCGATTTTTAAGGATGCTAAATTTGGAGTTACTATTATATGTTATTTCATCTGTTCTCCACCAGTAATCTTTTTGCTGACAGGGTTTAGCATATAGCATGAATGCAACGATTAAGCCGCACAGAAAGACAAGGCTCCCAAGAGCCCATGCCGCGTTCGCGCTGTCAAATTTGCGGCGTTCTTGAAGTCTTCCGTCTTCTCCACGTACGATGACAAACCGTTCTGTGGCTTTGATAGACAGGCGACCTTCCCATTGAGGATGTTGCGAGGTGTCTTTGGGATTTCCATCAGCATCATTCTTGTGATTGCTAACATACCTTGACTGTAAAAGAATAAATAGATGATTATGATCCCACCCAGTTTGATAACCTACTGTATAAATGCGAGGGTATAAATGCGAGGGTACAAATGTGAGGTCTTTTTATAATAATGTTGGTTAGTCCACTTCTCCCTGGGTGACCCTACTGGGATTCCACACGTCTACTGCAGTGGAGCCCCTTGGGCAACTGAAGATGGGGACGCCCAAGGATGACATGAAAGGACTTTTTGTCCCAAGACCTTGAGGATACATCAACTCAGCATGAGGAGGCAATTCAATCCGTCCAGGACACTGGACAAAAGTGTTGTTGGTGCTATGTGGTTGACCCACGACAGCAATAGATGATGATGTGACCCTACTGCTGGGGTGTTGAGTTCAATCCTGGATTCACCATCACATGTGAGTAGAGATTGTTAGATCTCTCCATTGATTTCAGGGTTTTCCTCTGCATTCTCTATTTTTCCTCCCCCTCTGCAAATCCAAAGAAGCTATTCCTGGAAGTTAGCCCTACCGTGACTTCGTTCAGGTAATCGTTAATAGGAAAACCATTTTGACGGTTTTATAACAAAAGAGTTTGAAAGTTGGTACACGCCACTCATGGTTCATACAGATGCATCTAACTTCCCCCTCCCCCCCATACCCTATATATTTATTGACCCCCAGACTGTGTTAGAGCAAGGTCGGGATCTATATTTATAAGATCAAAGGCATAAAATATTACCAATTCTGAAGGACACAGCTCTGACTCATGGATATCAGACACTATTGGAGCATCATGTTTAAGCCCTTCATTAAAGCTTCCACTGTTGGTAACATGGGTTGCTGGGCCTTTCATTGCATTGTTTTGGATCCACTGACGTCCTGCAGTTGAATTGAGCTCCTTCGCAGAATAATAACATCCCCATGCAACAATCGCAAAATCCTGCACAAAATGTGAAAAAATGAAAGAAAAGAAAAGTGAAATGAGGAAAATGAAAGGGAAAGTCACAGAGTCGTAGAACAGTTTAAATTGAAATTTAGAATTTCTGCATTTCTAGGCATCTTTTAGGGAATATCTTAGGGGTTAAAGGTTGTCGAACTATACCCTTTAGACTTTTACTCCAACGAAGGACTAGCGTCCGAAATGTCAGTAAGTTTTTTCATCTTTTCACGGTGTATAATTTACCTTTTCATCATTACTGTTTCATTAGAAACACTGATGCAGCTCACACTAGTTTTTAACTAGTTATGACTTCTTATACCCTTTAGAAAGACTTCCAGTAACTTTTGGAGTACTTTTGAAAATTTCTGACAAGTATACCAGATACTGTGGAGTCCCCACCCCTGGACAGAAAGCTGGTAATAGGATTCGTGATTGATTCTGATTGATCCAGCAATTACCCAAGAGGTGTGACAATGGTACTTTGCCTGGCATGTACCTTTATCTCATGGTACCTACCTGTGCAGGGTCAAGGTTTTCATATGGAGTGATAACATGTCGATGTAAACAGCTCCTTGCCAGTCTTTTTAGTTTCTTGACCAATTCTGGTTTTGCACATGGATGATACAAGAACACAACTCCTCCATTCTGCATAAAAATAAAATACCAATTATAGAATTACCCCATTTTCTTCTTGAAGTTTTGATGACAAAGTTTTTGTTAAGCTTTCAGTGAGCACACACTTTTTTTAAACGTAGTACACATATAAAAAAGTTGATTTTTTTTTTCAAAAATGTAGTTCAATCCCCACAAGCCATCCTGTCCATTGCTAATCTGACTTCAGTTGTCCAACTAGCGATCATTCAGCTCTCACCTCTGGGATCTCAGGTTTGAATCCTGGACTAAGCAGGTGCATACCCCTTGAATTGTGGGTTTTTCTACAAGTTCTCTGGTTTTCCTTTATCTGCCAGACCTAGCTCACTAAATTCCAAAAATTTAATCTTTGAGTTAGCCATCTGCTGACTTAGATCAGTTTTTTCAGGGCTTGATAAAATTTGAAAGGTATTTCTATTTGTCAAAATTCCAATGTATTTCCAGTAACATCAGGGCCGTAGCCAGTATGAGGCGAACCGAGGCACTCGCCTCTGTAAAATTTTACCAAATGTTGTCGATTTTTTTTTTCATCAGACTGATAATATTATTCTACGTTGATATTCAACATTTTTAGGAACGAATGATCATCATCAAAGGTTGACAATCACAGTGTTTCAGAATAAAAGATTGCATACTAAGTTCCGCTTAAAACTGTTTATGAAAGGTTACCAAAAGGCCCTCAAAACGCTGGAAATTCCATTTCCGAGAGTCTGAATTTCAAAACCTCCCTTGAGACTCCCGCCTTCGGCAGTTGTTCTCTCGCCTTTGGCAGTCGTTCTCTCGCCTTCGGCACTAGTGCTACCCCCTCGGGGTCTTTCGCCTCGGTTGTAGTTTCTTCCTGGCTACGGCCCTGAACATCACATGATGCATGGTTAAAAACTTACCACAATGATATACTTCCACTTGGATTTTGGTAGATATTCATACTCTCCATACTTGGGCCATTGGATTTGACGTGGATCATCCCTGATAATACAATGATAAAAATACGTTAGACCTCTGACAAACGGCCCAACACTTTGACCCGGATCAAACGTTGGGACCATTTGTCATGTCCTGCCAAGTTACGATGCTGGGTCAAAATGTTTGCCAATAATGACTATATATTTTAGCTTATTTTATTTTATATTTTTAGCTATAGATTTTCTTTACTTACTTTGTTAATTTTTGTTTACAATGCACTGGGTCTGTAAAGCACATGAAAGGCTAAAATAAACAGAAAAAATTAATTGATGTCACAAAAAAAATCCATACAGCAAGAACTGACGAATTAACACCCTAAATATAGTGTGTTCAAATAATAAGAATCTTGTTAAAGCATTTTATTGCCAAGTTAAGTGATAAAAGTAGAAAAAGTTTCAATGCTACAAGCGTGGCTTGGATTAAAGACTTGAAAATATCATAGATATTAGGGGGACTACAGTCCCTTACTCTACACATTCGCTACGAAGACTAAAAATGTCAGAATTTAAGTTAAAGTCAGGTTGTAACAATAATTACACTTACGTCTGTATGTTCGTTATAACAGACTGATTGACTTTTATTTGAGCTTGTGTGCTAAAATAAAAAAAAGGAATAAAAAACTGATCAAACAATATTCATCTCCACAACAAAAATAGAGCAGTTTTTGAATGACTGTAAAAAGCTTGCTATGATTGCTCAAGGATACTCAAAATGATGATGATGATGATGATGATGACAACAATGTTGATATGGTCTAATCAAGTATTCAAAGAAATGAAACTTAATAATTACTATTTACCGTAGTGGTCACAGTTGTGTTACTGCAGTTCCATTGCCTTGCTTTAAAATCTTCTAATGTTAGCTCCCTCTCCTCCTCCTAGAAAAAGCATACAAAAACATAATTATAAGATTCAAAAATACTACACAAAAATAGGTGATTAAGCAAATTACAGTAGACAATAGAACAGTATCATGTCTAGCTGCCTTTCTTTTTCATTTTATGGCTGAAAAATTACTTTCTTGTTACATCATAGCTACAATGTTTATTTATTTATTTCTTTTAATGAGCACAATTACGAAGATGGTACATGTAGCCATATCTTTTGTTTTTATTAATTTTTACAAGGCAGGAATGGCACCTTACACAGCAGGAGAGTTCACAAAAAAAWATATATATAATGAGTCTTGTTGCTTAGAGACTAAGAGAGCTTCAAAAAATTTTAAGCACATATGAACGAGAGTTTTGATTTTATCAGTATATGGACTGAGTATAGGTGAATATTCATACTTTAGCTTGTTGAGTTTTGAGAATTGGACAATAACATGACTTTTGGAGGGCATATTGTTTATTCGTGGCACATTGGTACCATCATTTGCGCCTGAGCGTAGCGAGGGTGTAAATGTTGCTGCAAGGGCCACAACTAAACAATATGCTCAACCAAAGTCATGTTATTATCATTATGATCAATATACTAGGACAAGTTAAGCAAATTTTCAAAATTGCCTTACGAGATTTTTGGAGTTGAATCTTTGGCAGGCTGCAAAGGTATTTGCGGCCCGCCAAAATCCTAAATCGCCCACTGGGCGCACATTTTCAAGAGGGCAGTTTGCTGTTTGGCCTTGTATATTGATGATAATAAAAAATAAAAAGTAATAATATTTATAAATTTATGGATAGTATAATATGTATGTATGACTGCAAATTTCAACATAATTAATAAAAAACCTTTAAGTAATTTAACTGCCTTAAAAAAATATCCCATTATCTGAAATTCTAAGCTGTCTAATGAAAATGCATTTAGTTATTTTCTGTATATAAATGACATCTTGTAACCACAAAATGATGAAAACTTTACTAGTAAGAATAGCTTTACTCAATAATTTTATCAAATACATAAATACTTTTCTACTGAGCTTTCACCATTCTGGCTCCTATTTTACCTTCAATACTCAAATATAATTTATCAGTTTTTTTCATTTATTTCCCCCCCAGTAGTTTATGCATTATTTAATAATAAGAAACAAGATAGCCTTTCTAAAAGTTAATTTTAAAATCGACTTTGTACCCTCGTTTATGCATAAGAAACAAGTCCAAGTTTGAATATGATACATAACGTGTACATAACGAGTAATCTGCTTAACTTAAACCCAAGAAGTTTACATAAAACTCAATGTAAATTGTTCTATAAGTTAACATAAACAGCTCTGTGTAATCATTGTAAACGCTAATAACATGACGCCAAAACAATATAAACAGCTAAACAGAAAACAAACTCAAAACAGGAGCAAGACATATCAAGCATTTCGAAATATTTCGAAAATGGCAACGGTAAAAAAGACAAATGATAGGAAACTAAATTGTAAATTTTCTTTTTTTAAAAGAAAATGAAGTTCACAATAAGATAAGCTTTCCACCCTACATCCACCCTACATTTTGATGCATGATGAAGAAATTTGAGAATACGTTTTATATAAAGCTTATATACGAGTTAACTACAATTCAATAGATATTTTAATACTTTAAGAGTGAAGCTAGATGGAAATATAAGAGCTAAAAATAAAGAAATGTTTACCGTAAAAATAAAGAAAACCTCAGAAAACCTAACTTTATAGTGCACGAACCTTCAAACCTGCAGACGTCCTTGTTAGTGGAACATTGGTCGTTCCTTCGCTACTCCAACTTTTATGTGTCGATAAATTCTTCTCTAAAGAGAGTTTTCGTCTCGGTAAATAAGCAAAATTCAGAATAAGAAAGAGAATAAATACGATTATCGCTACAGAGGCGTAAATTGTAATCCTCCACGACGCCATGTTTGTACTGAAGTGAAGTGCGGTTTACTCCGGTCACCTTCGGCATTACTTCGACAAAAAATCGTTATGTTTACATATTCGCTTTCGGAAGCGAAGATAACGGAAAATACCACAGGAAGCCCAAAATATGTGTGACTACATAAAAATAAACTTTGTCTCTTTGTTTTGTAAGCGCACATGAAGAGGCTAATTCTATGTCGAAGATATAAAAGAAACAAAGCAAAGGCTCGTAGAATATTTGAATTGCCCCATATCGCAAATTTCCAGTGAAAATGTTAATATATACTCCTAGTTACGTGAGAAGATTTGTTCCGCGTCTCTTTAAAACGCATCCCATAAGGGAAAGGGTGGCCAAGGAAGTTTATCCATGATCAACACTTGCGATATAACAGGTTTGCTGGTCATAGCAAGGGGTTAATCATATACGGTCTAGGGGCCGACTAACTCTTCCCTTAGGCTTCGGCCGAGCTTCCTGATCAGTCTGTAATTCTTCCCGGGATAGCGGTGTTGGGCCCGAAATCTCCAGCGTAGCCGTAAGTCCATACGACGGCTCAGCATTCGATGTCTGGAAGTATGGTCCTGGTTATATCTTAATTAATAAATGGAAATAATCCAAAAATAAGTAGTCTTCCCACCAGATAAGAACTTTTAAAAAGATTAATTTTGAAACGACAAGGAGAATCATTTGTGTGCTGAAATATCACAGAAAGCGACACGCGCTTAACATTTGTCACGACAGTTCGTTTTCGGATTGACTAGGCGGATTGTGAAAGTGCGCACTAAAATCTGTCTTATGAAGCTATCCGTTCATGCTTTCACTTTGGATCTAAAGACAACTAGAGTAGGTCTATCCCTTGATTCTAAGGGTTTTTCTCCTGAGCTGGTTCTTCATCCACTTTTCCTTCCCTCCGCAAAACACGCAAAATTCCAATTCGACCGTCCCCTGATTTCGATCAAACCTGAGGCTGTTTCAAGGTATTCATAAGATTTGAAGGTGTTTTCTAAAGCGCACTATAAAGGTCTTACTCATGTTTCAAATGCATACAAAAATCAGTTCTTACGAAGCCGTCATTCGTGCTGCCCCTTTTTGCTTGAGTGCAGGATCATTCTTCATTAACCCATTTTTGCTTGTAGGCCTGCACTCTACCACTATAAATACCTCTTGTTTATATATTATGTACGAGTAATAAGACAAGCGTGAAATAAAAACCTTTATAAAATAACTGCTATAAATCTCGCGTTCTGATTGGTTGTGAGCGCGTGCTTTATGAGAACACATAGCACGCGCCCGCACTTTCAGTTGCGTCATTCCTATCTAAAATAACGGTTATTGTAATTGTATTTTATAAAAGAAATAAAGAACTTGCTTACTGTGCTGTGTTAAGTTAAAAAGCACTTGGGGATTGGCAGAACACTTAAGAAGTGTCGAAAAGCACTCCGCTACGCGTCGTTCTTCTCCTAACACTTCTCTCTTGTTCTGCCAACCCCCGCGTGCTTTTTGACTGCACACAGCACGCGCGCGCGTTTTCTATTTCTTCATTTGATCAGCACGCAACCAATTACACGTTTATCAAATATCACACGATTATCATACATTACAAAAATAACATATTTTACTATCTGTTCCCAGCATTACATAGACTAGAATATATACACAAATTCATTTTGACAATATATTACGATAGATTACACTCCAAGATCCCCACCAATACTTTTTACAGAACTCCAACTATATACAACTATATGGTGGTTTATAGATTTACACTCTAAATTCTCTCATTATAGGATGATAGTGTTTTTCGTATGAGTGGAAAACGTACGGTTTTGACTTACAGCACGTACGCGTTACGATATCTCGTAGCAATGAGATGGCTTTCAATTTTGTACAATTCATCCCATCACAACGCATACATTAAGCTTAATTTCAAGCTGCGTTGGTTTTGAAGCGCCCAAGAACCACGTTTCGGGGCAAATTACAGATTCTTGGCTGATACCAGCCCTAACGCGTATACACCTATGCCAAAAAACGTTGTCGGTCGGATATCTGAGATCTGAAATCTCAGACCGATTAGCACGCTGCAAATTGTAATATTTTCACAGCCAACGAGCGTAGTTTCTTTTGGATTTGATTACGAAGCAAGAACTTAAAAATGTGACTTTTTCGTATCTTAGCAAGAAAACGAAAGTACAAAAAATTCTTTTAGTCTAAGATTTTTAGATGTTCGACATACGTTTCGAAATAGGTGTATACAGTTGGAGAAAAACCCAAAACCGCCACCGATACGCTACCAATTCAAAGCACTTTTCCCTCACTCATAGAAATCTGCTTTAATATTATCATGAACGTATGTCCATCAAGTAATGCTGCTTTAGCTGGGGAGGCTCATCGGTTTAGTGATGATCATCATTATCTTGTTCACTATCATCGTGTTGGCTTCCTGTAATCAAAATAAACATATTGGGAACCCTGTGTCAGGCACAACATTTGATTTCTTTTTCCATTTTAACTCGCTAGAGTTAGATAATGGCTTGGACAAGGTTTAACTCCTATTATATTTCATATTACTTTTTCAAGCCGGCGAGAGACTTGTTAGGGTTTGCTACAGGAAAAATTGCTACATGTGACATCTATTGAAAACTATGTCGCGAGTAACGAAAAAGGGAACAACTGCAACGCATTTCCTAGCGTTATCTGGTCTCGTTACAAGCTATAAAACTCGTCTCCTCGTCGTTTAACAGAAATACATATTAAGTTATTCTCATGGAATTCACCTTGACTGGTATTAAGATCAGTGCTGGAAGGTCTCTTAGGTGATGCTGGACTGCCTGAAGCTAAGTGATGATGTGACATAATCGATGACGTGAACTCATCGTCAGAAGAGTGAGTGCTCACGTATAACACACTGTCCCCTTCATTACAACCTAAAAAAACATAACAGAAAGGAGAAATAAGTAAATACATAACGTCCTCTTACGAGTCAAAGAAGGTGTAAGTTTTATTCGAGCTGCATATTCTCAGGAGGTGCTAGAGAAAGCAACGTCATTGAACGACAGTCATGTTGAATAAGCCTTCAATTGGTATCAAACAAATTGGACAAAAACGCAGTTGCGATGTCAGTGATGCGTAAACGTTTTATCGGCATATCCTAGTCTTGCTGCCCCTCTTCTTGAGGGGAAACGTGGAAAGAAACGTCTAGTCGGTCCAAAGAGAGGGGGAGAGGTGAGGACTCCGAACAATAAGAATGAAAGCGCACACACAAGAATAAAAATTTTGTTCTTTCAAATCTAAAACTTGTAATACCAGAATCATTGTGGTCTTCATTCCGTGATGCAACGTCTAGAGCACGGAGAAGTTCTTCCTCTTCTGGGCTAGTGAAGCTTAACCTGTAGGCTTTGTTTAACGTTGATGCGCGCTTGAGCTCCGATAGAAGCTGTGAACTTCTCTGGAGACCTTGACGAGAGAACAAGACGTGTATGAATAAGTCAAACGGACTGGTAAATATATTTCATGGCTTGAAAAGTTTACCCCACTGAAGCGGCTGGTCACCTGCTCAATTGGTATGAGACCCTAGGTTTTAATGTGGCTTAGAATAGTCCCTTTCACAGTTCCCTGCGCCATCTTGAAAGGTAGCCGTGCCTTTGCATCGAAGGGAGACGAACGGTGAGCTTGCAATGACAGAGACCTTTTTTAACACCTTGGACAATTATTCACAGGTCTCTATCATTGCAAGCTCACCGTTCGTCTCGCTTCGATGCAAAGGCAAGGCTACCTTTCAAGATGGCGAAGGGAACTGTGAAGGAGACTATTGAACTAACGACTTCCGCGCAAGAAACCGAAGCCCAATCGAGAGAACTGGGAAGCAGTTTACGTCAACAGCATTAAGGGATCACTCTACTACTTACCATCTCGGCCAATCGTGGAGCTGTTTCCACTTGATCGAACCACCTTTCTAACTGGTTCCTTGGCTCGCATGCTGTTAAACATTACGAACAAGTTTAAGCACATCATTAGTTATAGAACGTAGTTTTCGCAAAACATTACGCAGAAGAGAAGAAAAACGTTAGGCAAAGACCGATTATTCATTTTGTGTGTGTGTGTGTGTGAGGCAAACCAAAACAAGCGCGATGATTCAAACTCTTTAATGGATTGAAACTCTTTAATTAACCTCAGATAATGGACCTTCATAATGTAAGCTCACCCTGAAGCGCTTGAGTGCGAGGCCACGAGGGGAAAATCTATTCTTGCAGTCGACATGGCTGCCGTGTGATAAAGGCCTAAACTTAGATCTACGTTTGTTTGCGCTTGAGCTATTTTTGGAAGTGGAAATCATCCGTCTTTGCCTTCTTCACAAGCGTTGTCAAATCCAATAACTTGAACCTCTCCCTCACAGCGCACAATCTAAGTCCAGGTAAAATACCAAGCAACAGTTGCTTTTACTTACCCTGAGTGTAACGCGGCCTGTCTACTGCTCGAGGGGCTGTCGATCTTCTCGGGCAGGCTACGTTTAGATATTGGGCTTCCTGTGTCTTGCTCAGGGCTGCAGCCACCGACATCTAGGTTAGGTACTATGCTACAGGCATCTGAATCTACCGCCAAGAAAACAAACTCTTTTTTCAATTGCGCACAGCATTGAGCCAGCTTGTTATAAGCGCAGTCGTTATAACTAAGTAGCGACCTTAAATTTTACAATTTTAAAATCTACGACGGCGACGTCAAGAGGTTTATTGAATTAAGAATCTTACGTCTCTTTGGTGATGACTTGCTCCTTGGACTTGTGTTAACAACAGGTAAGGAGGCTCCTCTTCTCTGTCTGTGGGCTCTGGAGTGTTTGGATTGAGACGTGTTTGTAATGGCTTCTGGTGAAACACAAGTACATCTAATATTTAGATAACTATTACCTTACTGACTTCATAATGACAACTCTAGCAAAAAGGAATCTCAGGGAAAAAATAAGAATGAGAAATAATTTTAACTTAGAATTTGACACTAAAGACGTAAAATTCGTATCAAACCTTCACAACATTTGAGTATTTCTTTTTTTATCTATTTATCAAGTATGTCAATTCCTCGAAAAGTTTGAAAAGAACAGAAATACCTTAAGGCCCAGACACACAATATAATTTTTGCGCGCATCGTTTCACGCAAGCACGAAATGGCACCGTTTTACAAACTCAATTCATAGTTACGTTGTTAGAAAATTGCTACGTGTGGCATATCTCGTTGCGCCCAACAATTGCGCCGTGTTTCCGGACCTTAATCCACCGCTCCTTACCTTCAAGATGCTTCATACTTCCAAGTGCAGCAATGGCAGTACTCTTCGCTTCAGCTCGATTCAGACAACTTTGTAGCTTTTCCAACATGCTGCTACAGCGTTCGTAGCGCGCTCGGCGTTTGGATGCAGCCTTTTCTTCCGCTCGAGGCATGTCTATGAGAGATACAGCTTTTCTCGTAGAACCACTTGAAGTTTTCCAACGAGATCCTGATTCACTAAGTTTTAGAAGGTTAAGTAGGACTCTGGCTTCTGGTTCGATAAAGGACAAGGTATTTGAAGAAGAAGTGGCATTTGTTTCGCTTTGCGCCTCGGCTTGACGTTCTTTCTTTTCTTCGTCTTTCTTTTCCTCGATGTTGGAATCCAATATTTCGAACTGTACGTCTTCTAATGTCCATCCTTCCTCGTCCTCCTCTTGTGTTTCCCATTCACTGTCATCTGCGGCCCCTTGACATTGATTGTCTGTCTGTGGCTGCTGTTCCTCATCACATGATTCTGTAACAATAATATCAGGGAATGGTATTGGGAAGAATTTGACAACAAACAAACGAACGACTAAAAGAACGCGCGCGCTTTCCTTGGTGCAAAAAATGTCTTTATTCCTCTAACGCCATCGTTGGAGCAGTGATTGTTCAAAGAGATGTCATTTCTGTACTGATTGATTGCTTCAAGAGACGTTGCATTTCGGCGCCAACGTGCGTTTGGTGAAACAAAATTCACCATTCTTGTACCTCTAAAGTGCGCGCGGTAATTGTTCCAAGAGATGTCGTCATTCCCATAACACCAACGTGTGTACGGTGACAGGCCTAAGGGATATCGTCGTTTTTGCACCGTTACCGTGTCGCTATATATTTTACTTATACATACATGTTCTATCAAGAATGACTTACTGACCTTGTTTTGCATCATCTGCGCACGTGCCGTGTTCAGATAGAGTGCCATCTAAGATAGTGGATTCGAAATGTTCTTCGTCGTCTGTTTCTTCGGGACTTTCCTCTTCACTTTTTTCTTCTTCATCCTCAAGGTTTTCTTCGTCGTCCATGGCGTTTTCCTCTCCTGTTACTTCTTCTCCTTCCTCTGATGGCTGCATTGTCGGCCCTAACGAAAAACTCATGCATTAATTTTTTTCTTCTTCTGGCGCATGTAAAAAGTCCATACCTATACCCAGGCCTAGTAAAAATCCGAGTTTTAGTAAAACCTATAGGGTCATAATCAGACCTGTTAGTGCAAGTCGACCATTACTTAGCTATTTCCCCTTCTCTATACAGTGTGTGCAACCATGTGATTACAAATTCTATTAAGATATGAATAACAATGAAACAACCGCCATGTTCGTTGATCTGCCAAGAGAAGCTAATGAGGAATGCTTGGTTATCGTCAACCAACATGGAGGCTATGACGTAAATGAACATGTTCTATCATTATACACCTAACTCCAAAATTGCGCACGGCCGAGTTTGTTACATGAAAACGAAGCATCCAGGGCCAAATGCAAAGAAATAATATGGTATCAATGCAAAGTATACACTTGTTCACTTGTTCTGTCTTTCTTTTCTTCTTACATTCAGGATAGCGTCAATTTCGCATCATCAATTTATAAGAAAATACTGTAAATTTGGCCCTGGATGCCTCGTTTTCGACCGGCCGTGCGCCATTTTGGATTTAGGTGTATTCTCACCTGTAGTCATCTCTACGTCTATAGCAGTATGTATACGCGTTCTCTTCTTTTTATTGCTCGTACTGCTGGTCTTGCTGAATGCAGTTTGAAAGTCTCGTGACTGTTTGACTAACGTATGGTCAGCCGATTCATCATCGTTGTCGATAGATTGTTCTAGGAGTGACACGTGACTTCTATCAGGCGAGGCTCCTGATCCAGTGGGCGGAGCAGTGTGATTACGTGACAGCTCAATAGCCAATCGCTGTTGATAAAAAAGCAATGATGAACAGAAATGAAAATATTGAAAAAAGCTTGAAGGATTAGATTGTGCATGCATTAGACCTGAATGGAAAGGATAACTAGTTTGAAAAAATAGGCAAAGGATCAGGCAAATAAAATGAATCGGTCTTCAAAGCATACCTCTTTCAAGTCATTCACTTGTTGAATGCACTGAAGTTGACCCGTCTCTAGTTGATTGATGTACCTGTTAAAAATAACATGTGTCAATCAATTAGTGCGGGATGGAAAAAGGAGTTTCAAGCATCATTAAAAAATATAGTTACAGTTCGTCTACGTACAAGCTTTACTTTTTCCAACACGAAAACCAAAGAAGGTAAAATCAAAACATATAAATAAGGCGCAAAACTCACCACTGCTGGTCTCGACATTTCTGGTAAAATGTTGGAGGTCTGACTTGGAATCGTAGAATAAGTGTGTCATTTGCTGTATTGAGGTACCCCTCGCTGGCCTATTATCGTGAACAAGATAAATTACAAGCTTTTCCATACTTTTCTGATTAGTCTTGAGATACATACCGTTAGAGAGGAAGAAGGCACCATTGAGGGAAAATCACATGCGAAGACGACTCGACACGATGAAAACGCGCAAGACTTTAATAAACTTAAGGGCTAATAATTGTGTAGGCAATGAATCACGGGATATCTTGGGTGAGTATCATAATTGAGCGATACGTGACAAGGCTATAGACCCTTTGCAGCACGTCGGAATGCAGCTCGATTTGGAGGAATAGGTTTCCAATGCTCGGGGCCCGTTTATATGAAGAGTGAATAGCGCTATCCGATGAATAAATTTATTGGATAACAGCACCGACTTATCCACTAGATAAGGATTTATCTGTTGGATAGCGCTATTCACCCTTCGTACAAGCGGGCCCAGGAGATTGAAATTCTTTTGTTTTGTTCTCCTTTGACGTCACATGCAAGGGGTCTATTGGTGGTAAACTTCTGGGATAATATAACTTAGTACTTCTAAGTTCATATGAATGCATACCAACAAATCCAGACGAAAAAAACGGTTATATCCCCAGCACTCGCCAACTTCGAAATCAGAAGCTGTAAGAAAAAAAAGAAGAAAAAAAGGACATGAATTATCAACACATAAAACCAAAGACTCAACGACATGTTGGCGAGAACATACCGAATTCCCTTACGATGTTCTTGCTGGAGTCAGGTGAAGCATGATGAATCATCTCTACTCGATACTCGTATCTGTATGTTAAGGGTACTAATTAGCTTAACAATGAATTAATAGTTTGTTAATGATATAAGATACATACTTGGATGTCTCTGGCAGACCTGCAGTCAGCTCTAAGAAGACAGAGAGGTAGTTACCCCGTACAACACCATTACCATCCTATCATGAAATAACAATAAAGCTTTAAGTCATTTAACGAATTAAGAACGCTTAGCCTTGTAACATATAGTTTTTGGAGAATCTCGACCTAAGTGTTTCAAATCGTCAAGACATTTTAAAACGTTATCAAGACTATGTTCCTAAGGAATCTCAGTGGAAACGCTTCGATTGGTTTTTAAAACCCTACTTTTTGGCGAAGACAAAGTTTGGGAATCCACTGAAATCCACTCGGCGTAGGGGGGGGGGGGGATGAAAAAAGCAGGGATAGGAGTTCACCACTGTGCACGCCCCCCCCCCGGAAATCTCCAGCAATTTCAAGGAGTTCCCGAGCAGTAAGGGGGATGCCCGCTCCCCATCAACCTCCAACAGCTCCTCCCCTAAGTAAAGTTTCGGTTTCTTGGTCACAGACAATGTACGTGTATGCACGATAGAAGAGTGCAGAGCACTATTCCTATACAATACTTACAGGATACACCTTGAGTCTCCAGCTCAACCCATTCACATTTAGCGGTTCACTGTAAACAGGGTCTGCTTTTCTTTTCAACATACTGTAACGATTAGTAATATCTTGTATTAGCATTTAAGAATAACTGATATTTCATGTGCGCGCTATCAATTTGAATTACTACATCGGGATTTATTTAGTTTTTATTGTCGAAAAAATATCGATGTTATCGAGCCTGGCTGATCTAACTGGAAATTAGAAGTTGACTTTTGCGGCGGGGGAGGACATTGTTCGGCTGTGAAAATTTGCAATTTACAATTTGCAGCGTGCTAATTGGTCTCAGATTTCAGGTCGTTAAGCGACAACGTTTTTGAAATAAAATGAACAATGTTACTTACCTGAAATGCGTGATACAAAACGTACTGGTATCGTAAGGAGGGACGATTTCACTGCGAAACAAAAACAACAGGTCAAGGAAGATATTTAACATGGTTAGTTTAATAAACAAGGTTTATTTATGAGGAGATGCGCATGAGACAAGGACTTGATCATAAGCACTAGGTCCCCACTTCTTTAACGTGATCGAGTTTAGTATTGTATGTATCTACCTGGTGAAGTCTGCAGGGATGGGAGGGGTGACAAAAGACGCCATGGGCTTGCGATGAACCTGGTTAAACATCTGCAGTAACTCGCCACTTTTAGCGATTAGCTCGCTTCTTGAACACGAGTGCAGCTATGAAGACAAACACAAAGATAAATTACAACATTTTTAAACCAATGACAACGCGCGAGATCACTGCTCAGCCAATCAAAATGCTCAGACGCAATACCATCACGGTCACGGTACGTTACTGGAGTTTTTCACAGTCATACAAAACTATGTATTCACGAGTACTACAATTAGTAAAACGATAATCCTTATTCCTTGTTGTTCGTTGTGTCAGCTTTTGTGACTGTCCGTATGGGAGACAAGGGTCGCGTAATACATTCCTCTTTTACCACTAAGAGTCCTACGGGTCTGGTCGCGGGTTTGATTCCTGCAGACGACACAAGTTTGATGTATTGTTCTCTCCCGTTCTCCCGTGTTACGAGGGTTTTTCTCTGGGCTTTACTCCGGTTTTAAAAGTTGAGTGCTCAGAATATTAAATGCAGTGTTAGTGCATGAGTGCGGGGTGTGTCGTACACATTCTGGATAGGGAGACATGGCACTGGCACTTTTCACGACGCAAAACTAAAAAGATTTATTTGATTGTCCTTTTATTAATTTCTTTACCTGGTGTTCGACTTCCTGCAAGAGAGATTCCAGAAGTTCGGTTTCTTGGGTCAGTGAATTCTTTTGGCCTAGAAAAAAATATTGTTTATACATTAAGACAAAACCTATAAAAAGATAGATCTGGACAAAATACACTACAATGTACGAGTACAGAAACCCCGTAAAACATAGCAGCCTTCTTTATAACTATGCACTCCTTCAAGCCCAATAAACGTCAAGGACTATGAAATTTAGCTGAAAGGATTTGGAATCGCATGAAATAGCACAGTTTTGTAGCATTTCAACTACATAAAGCTCACACAAAATTCATTATGTTTACATTTATGAAATGCAAAAAAAATTTTTTGGTCTCTTGGTAGGTTTTTTTAAAATTTTATTTTTTAGCTCGAAATTCAAATGCGCACATTGAATTAAAAAGATTTTAATTTTCAAAAAGATTGTATTTTTTAAGATTATCTACGAGTTCTAACTTACCCATTAGAGTCAACAGCTTGCTTTTGAGTTGAGAGTCAAGCCTGGCTATCATCAGTTCCACCGCGTTCCGAATCTCTCGAACACGCTGTGAAGACACAAGACCGACCACATCAAAACGTTAATGCGTGTAAAGAATTAAACGAAAATAACAGTGTTTCAAGAGGTGGACTCCTCGTTGCATAAAGGCGCAGATTAGATAAGTTTTTTTTACAAGCAGTAAACTTCAAGTGGGTGTCTGTTGGACAGGCACGTTCTCATGTAGTATGCTGTGATACTGAAGTGGCTTCCCATTGTTTTGGATCGATTTCATTCAATCGAAACATGTATAGTTTGCCATTACAGGACTGACATAAAGTACAGCCATACAATCTAGTTTAACTGTCGATGATTAATATTCTCGCGAAGTAAAAGAGTGGGAAATGAACGGGAAAACAAAGTCTGTTTTATCCACTTAAAGTGTATATCAAGGAAAAAAAAAAAATTTTTTCAAAATCACTTATATGTGAATAGTGCAGTAGTATGGTTGCAGTATTTTTGTATGTCAAATTTTCTTTTAGGAGATATAAACATTTGAAAAATCAATATGTAAATTGTTTTAAATATCACTTCATCCAAGTGGCTATTGTTTCATTTTGTAGTATTTATAGGAAACGTTCATCTCCAAAGATTCATGGCTTAGATTACTAGTACACGCATCTGTATAATAACGGGATTCTTAGAAATTCCACCAATACAAATAATTTCTTCCTAATTAAGAACTTCCCTTTATTCTAACACATCACGTATCAAAAGAACAGCCAGGAAAACAAAAACTTTGAACTTTGTATGGAAGTGTTCTGATCGGATAAGAGTTTTTGTTGTGCTTTCTGATTGGTTAAGGATAAGGAAGCCATTAAAGTGTTATGGGACTATAATTTTGTAACATATGTTCTACAATGAACACTAACTGTGCAGTGAACGATCAACTAAATGGTGGATGAAGTTTTATAAATGACCCACCTCCTCTTTGGCTTCTGATTGGTTGATAAGAAAGCCATCTAATAGCCATGGAGCTATAATTTTCTAAAATCTGTTCTATAATGAACACTAACTGTGAAGTAAACAATAAACTAAATGAAGTTTTATAAATTGCCCACCTCTTCTTTGGCTTCTCGAAGACTCTCTACATTCCTTTCCTGTTTATACAAACAGATAATATTTTGTTAGACATCCAGCATGATATTTCTAAGTGCTGTTCATATACAAACATACCACTTCCTGCACCAAGCTGATTAACTCCATCAATCTTCGACGCAACGCAGCAACCTAATCGAGAGAAAAATAAATATTTTAGTTGAAAACATCTATGAAAAATACGCGTGGTGTAGTGTTGAGCGCGCTCACCTCTTACCAATATATCACCAATGGGATCCGGTTAGACCCTATGGAAACCATTTCTAATTCTCATTGGGATAACACTCATCAAATATTTGTTTGTTTTCGATGCAGGTCAAAACAATAGACCATTTTAAAATTTTGCAGGTTTAGCCCTCGAATTATTGTCTAAAAAGGAAAGAATGCACAACTTTAACAATACAAACACTTTGAAATTCCACGGAACTTCACTGGAACACAGAAATATTCTGCAGAAAATCGAGGCTAACCCTGAGCAACAGAGATCTCGAAGCTGGAGTATTATAAATGGATTTTCTAAAACAGACCAGAATGCAATGCGTTCATGTCTTAAAAAATCTTGGTGGAAGGTTGTATGTGAGATGGAGATTGTTGGGGGTGGGGAGGGACGGGGCTTACCTCGTCTGTGATTGAAGACACGTGCTGATCGTAAATCTCATCGAGAGGCTTAAATGTATGACCAGAATGCTACAAGAATGAGAATTATCATTAGGAGAAGAGAGGAGGGTATGGAGGATTCTCTATATTTTTTACATAAAGAAACTAGCACTCCTTTTGAGTTTCGAGTTTCCACTTTGAGGTAATGGGCCAATCAAACGTCGACCCACTTTAGTCAGCCAATCAAATGCTAACTCTCAATTGTTTTCCACTTAAGACAGCCAATCAAATGTTAACTCTTTAACGTTTTCCACTTAAAGACAGCCAAACAAATGTAACTCTTAAACGTTTTCCACTTAAGACAGCCAATCAAATGCTAACTCTTAAACGTTTTCCACTTAGGATAGCCAATCAAATGCCAACTCTCAAATGGCTTCCACTATATATGAAGTAACCAGAGAGCCTGGTTTCCATTTGATTGCTACGATCGCTGCGATCTCCGAAAAACGTTTTTCACAGATCGCAGCGATCGAATGGAAACATCACTTTTTGGTTTCAACCAACAGCAATCGCTTACATACGAAAGCCATTTAACGGCTTCCTCGCACGAAGTTCCCCTGAACAGAATACACTCACTTACCGTTCCTCCCCACAAAGCACACTGATGACAAATACACTTCTTGCATGTCGTGCAGTAAACGCTCAGCTTTTCATGATGAATCTCGCACCTGACAGAAAGAAATAAAAATTGATTTACAACGTTAATAATAAGGTTTTCAAACGTTTTCTCAAGATAACCTCAACCAGGCACGGATTAAAACTGATCAATAGACCATGTCATTTCAGACCACGTGTCATTCTCTTGAGAATAAGTGTGTGAGTTGTATCCATATTAATGTGTCTTCTCATGTACAATCGTTAACCAAAGAAATGATACTATCGGGAATGACATGTAATCTGAAATGGGAAGACATTGCGCACAAGGTAAAGAGGTCTATTGATAAGTTTTGGTCTGTCACTCGTTGAAGTCATCTTGAGAAAGCTACAGTGACAAACAAGGAATAGACTAAACAAATCAATTCCATATAGGAACAAAAGCTTTTATAGAACTTCAATTAATGAGTCGCCATTTGTTCTTTTGCACTTCTGAAAGTGAACAATCTTCACATGTTTACAATTGTGCCTCTTCAAAGAAGCACGAAGAGGCCTCATTAGTGTCGAAGTAAATTCAAACGTTTTCAAACCCGTCCTATGTAATTAATTCTGTTTGACTTCCGTTTATATTAATCTAGTATCTTCCCAACAAAATATATTGGTTTTGTTATGAGTGGGAAACAAACGATAAGTGACTTACAGTACGTACACGGTACGACATGTCATGACATTGAAATGGTTTCCCATTGTCTTCCAGTAAGTCATCCAATCACAACGCGTAGTTGTGGCTTCGGTAAGAAACATTGTCGTATCGTTCCCCACTCATAGGACTCCTTTTCCAAGCTTAAAAGTGTAATGGTACCCCTCCCCCCAAAAAAGAAATACGACACACACGATCAAATCTTCTCTACATTTCACTTTCGCAAAATTGCCAAAGAGGTCTTTAAAATTTGTCATGTTTTCCACTCTTTTCTTGGAAATATGGAAAATATTCATGTAATTGAATTCTATGGCAAACAGTACTCAAACAACTCTTCTTCGCGCTTGGAAGGGAGAGGGAGAATTGATAGTATCAAAAACAAAGCAAGGAATTTTCAAAGATTAAAAACTGTAGTCTTCAAAAGAAATGCTTGAGAGCGCTGCGCCGTGGCGTTTAAAAAAATTCATATTATCAAATCCTAAAACAACCTTTCTCAAACAAATTCTGCTCACATCTGAGGGTTGCGATTCCATTTGCGCGCGTCGCTGTGAGCTTATTCCATTTTTGTTTACACTGTTAAATTAATAAAAGACATACTACATACTACGATGGTTCCCAGCATTTACTGTCATTAGTCACTGAGCTGCGGCGTTCTCGTCTGCACGCGTTTTTGGCGCACGTTTTGAATAAACACTTCATGATGGAAGTAAGTCAGACTTTAACATGTTTGAGGAAGGATCCAGTGTTCTTAAGTAAATGATAGTTCATTGGCTTCGTATTACTTGTGTAAGATGGTAGTCATAATGTCCCAGAAAGTAGACTTAAATACGCTAGTTTAAAGTCCGTTCCTTTTCCTAGTGTTCCGCACTTATCCAAATCCAGGAAAATTGACGACCAAAGATAAAAAAGAAAAGAATCAACAAATGAGAGTCGGATGAGAACTAATCAGGAAATGATTCACTTTTTTTATTCGCAAGAAATTCGCTTATTAGCTAACGCGCACTCTCTGTATTTCATTGGTTTTATCCATTGAATGATCTAGCAAGTAAAGAAATAACACTCAAGAGAATGACATGCGCGTGCACGCATCATCAGAACGAATCATTTGAGTTTTTTTTTTATGGATGGGAAACGACACGGCAAATTCGTAACCGTACACTGTAGACGTATTATATCTTGTGGTATCCGTAACTACGCGTTGCACGATGTAATTGGATGAATTACCGGAAGACGATGGGAAGCCATTTCAATGACACTGCATGTCGTACCGTGTACATGCAACGTGTAAGTGACGTAGGTTAGTACGGTATGTTTCCTACCACTCATAATAGAAAAAAAGAAAAAAATTGAAGCATGTTTCAAAATCACTTTCGAACTTGTGACAAATACAAGGGATTTAAAAATAAGCGCCAGAACGGAAGCCATTTGAATGCTGCTGGTACAGCTTCACAAAAAGGCAACATTGGATATTCAATTAGTGGTTAACGCGCCGGAATAAGTACTGACCAATATTTTGACACAAATGATTAACAAAAACAACTATTCTTTTTTATGCTTTATAGAATCACTGGTTAAGAACATTATCGAATAATAAGCGTACATATATTTATAATTATCTACAGATCATAGCCACCAAAAATACGTAAACCAATCCAGTCCAAAGAAGTTATACTTACAAGCGCAGCTTTCAGTCACGAGCACTTAGAGCCAACAAAGTCCAATATATTAAAATAATTAAATTTTCCAATTAGTGTTTAGTCTGCAGTCTGTAGAGTCAACGCCCTTTTACGATAAGTAATCTTGAGTTTAAAATAAGATTCGTCGAAATTGCATCGATTATTTTGGACAAATTATTTAACGTTTGTAGAATCTTTAGTCATTTCTTATTACCTTATTCTTATTATCTTCGTCTCGACTCGCTAAAATCTATACTACAGCGTCTACAAGATTGCAAATTCAAGACATCAACTGCAGCTAAATTCTATACAGTTCAGTTCTACTGTCATAGAAAAATATCAGTTGCCAGCGTACAAACCCATCATTAATAAATATCATATTATTTGAAAAATTGATTTTCGGCGAAGTATTGAGTCAATGTACACATCTGGGCTAGTTCTGGATTGCATATTTTGTGTGGCGTTTAACTTTTAAAAAAATCAATGTTTATATACGAACACGGTTTTTTTTTTCGCAAGGGGATTTCCCCACTCCAAGGCAAATCTTCTTAGTAAAGCTTACTAGTGTATAAAAATATTTCGATAATGGTAAAGAAAAGGATTTTTATGCGGCTTGATTTAGTCTGGTATATATTATGTCGAGTATTTAGAACGAAATATTTCGATGTTCTAAAACACAGTTTTTGCATAACGCAACGGCAGCTTGATCTAGGTTCTGCATATTCATCTCATGGAGAGCGACGTATGTCATGTTTAGCGAAAAATTAAACTAGCATAACTTTTTGCGCAGCATTAGATCGAGCTGCAGGGTTCATTTTCCACAGAGTATGCTGCTTCTCTCTTTAAAGAGCGAAAATAATTCAGTGTCAAAATATGTGTCATCTTTGTGACGGTCGAGCTAGAGTTCATTTTCCACACATTATGCTGCTTCTCTCTCTATAGAGCGGAAAGAATCGATGTCAAAAAAATGTTACTTTTGCAACGCGTCCGAATGTCGAGTTGGAGTTCTCCTCAGCCAACTGTTCATTATTCATGTACTACCATACGCCTTACATCAAGTCTATTTACGCTACACTAAATACAGTCAACTCAGTCTCCTTACAGCGGACACACTCGGTGCCATTACTTACTGTCCGTAATAGCGACAGTCCGTTTTACAAAAGTAATTTTTTTGTCAGTTTTTCCTTCGCCGGGGATTTTACCCCTGTCCATACCTAGATATCCTGTTAAGATGAGAGTTTACAGTATACGATACCATACATTAATAATTCATTGATAACGAGGTTACAAAATAGCGGTGTTTGAACTTACTGCGTTTTTGATTAGAAAGTAAATGAAAACTTTAGAGGCCACTTGTACTGGCAATTGTATAAGTAAACAAAAACGAATAGTAAATAATAAAACACGAACTCCTAGTGTGCAAAATATGGATACTTTTGGACTAAAAGTTGTTTAAAAATAAACTGAAGCATAGCAACAAGAGCTAGGTTATATGTATGGAGTTTGATGACTTTGATTATGGATAATATTATCATTGCGTTTTGTTTCTGACCTGGAAGAGACCACTATTTTGATGAATGATTACAATAGAGTCTGTGGTTGCTATCTCAAGTTCAAAATCATTGTTCAAGGTATTAAATTTAAAATTGACGAATATAAAAACGCTTGACATCGGCTATAAAAGCTACCAAGGTGTCTGGAAGTAGGAAAAGAGATAAATGATAGAATATATCTGGGGTAAAGGCGTGAAATGTGAATGAAATAAAAAAATTCTAGTTTTGTACCTATGGGTTTTCGAAGTCTGCTTCTGTTTGATTTTYCAGGACCAAATGATTACAGACTGTCTTAAAATCCCTACTGAAAATAGAGAATGCACAAGCTAGCTCGCCATATTCGGGCCGTTAATTCACCACGTTTAACTCACTCATCGATTCTTACGTTTGACTTTCCAGAGTTGGCACATCTCGACTTCTATCGTGTCTGGGATTTGCATTTTCTGTTTGTGAGCGAGTGTTCAAGCCTAGTATATAGCGATGACTCGTCCTCGTCTCGATAACACCTGCACTTCAATCGCATAAATTACGAAGGTTTTCTCTTTGCATTTCAATAGGAAAAGAGTTGGGGGTATTTTCGCATCACCCGCAGCTGTTTGAGTAGCGTTTGCCTTTAGGAGATGACAATCAGGCGAAATAAAAAGCTCTCAACCAATGACAGGCTGTGATATAGTTAAGGGCATCACTAGATCAAAATATTAATATCATACCCACCTATCTTTGTCTGTGTCGTCCCTGCCCTTGGCCGGCGCTGTCAACTGAAGGGAATCTAATTGCTGAAGAGAAAGCAGTACCAGGATCAATTTTTTAGAAAATAAAAAAACCAATGCGTAGTGAAAGGATGTCGATTAGTTCGCAAGACGTCATGGCGATAGTTTGTAAACATGCAGGTATACAACAAGAAAAGGGGGAAGAAGGGTAAGGATGAGTAGCGAGATAATGGAAAATAACCAAGAAGATTAATTAGTCATTTAGTCATTGAATCCTTGGAATAATATTCAAGACTTTTACACTGAAGTCAGATGAAGCTCGATAAAAGTGCGGAAGCGTTGCCAGTGTGTCTAAATATTGACATCACGTTCATCTAACGCAACCTACACGTAATAGGTAAACTGATTAAATGTTCATTCCCAATATAAGTCAGATTAGACTGGCAAGTTTTTCCATCTACGAAATCGATCGATGATTGTGCAAGAAAAACACATTCCATTACGCGTTTAGGGAGAGGAGTCGACGTCATAGTGACAACATCCCACACGTTGGAGTGGGACGTGGGATATATTTAAAGAGTTTCAGTAGGGGCACTTTATGATACTGAAAATAGAACTGAACATTTTGTCCAAATGACATGTATACTCAACTATAAACGACTCTTTATTTCTTTTTCAAAACGTCTTTGTCAAACATTACGCGCGCTGATGTTTCTATCGTATCGCACTCTAAAAGGAAGGCATTTGGCTAAGGTCTGACGAGTATAGTAAAATCTTAATGAACGTTTCAAATATTCCACGACTACGGCTTTAACCTTTAGAATACAGAGGTAATGTAATTTTCCACAAATATATGTGCGGTTCGTCCCCTAAAGGTTAACGGAGCTGGCCATGAACCCATTCAGTTGCGACTTTAATTCAAGCCTCATTTTTTTTTTTTTTCTTTAGTAGATTTCTAATATGGCAGCAAGATCGTGCAGCTTGTCGAACACTGAACACGTTTTAACATTCTTATTTCCAGAATTTCCAGAACCTAACCAATGAAATGCGTTCAATTTTTTTCACGGCACAGAACTGTTTACGACCTGCTCGGCCAATAAGCAGCGCGCAAAATCACTGATCAATCATCAAAATATTATGATGCGGCTACGTTACGCAAACGTCACATTACCTACATATATATCATAACTTTTACACGATCGTACCACAGGTAGCCCAAGCTAGGTTTCTATGGTGTGTTAAAAACATCTCTCTCATAAAATCGTTTCTTAACGGGGGATGGAAAAAAATGTTAAAAGTAGCATAATTCAAAATCTAACCACATAAGGAGAAAAAGGTACTTCTTTTTAAGGGTTAGCTAAGATTTATTTACTTTATTTCACATTATCACGATTTTATTGAGGTTTTTAAGGATCTCCATAGCTTGGGCTACCTGTGGTCGTGCGAAATCTGTCCCAGGAAGAAAATGTCTATCACTTGTTATGTTATGACATTTTCACCAAACATTTATTATTCAACAGCTTATTTTAAATAACGAGGAAAAACATTCTGTCACCTATCTATTTTTTGTCAATTTCGAACGTATTTTTCGACAGTGTTCCTTAATGATTGTCTAGCATATAACCGTCATTGCGTTAGGTCAACTTCCTAATCATTAATCCCTATATCGATTTAATTGGTTATAGTAGTGTGCTGTGGTCACGTTCAAGCATTGTACGCCCCTTGCAGCATTTTCTAATAATGAGGCTTAATTTGGCTGGAAAAATATAATTTTAATATCCTAAAAATTAAAGAAACTGTGAGGGGCTGAGGAAAAGGGAACGCATGACTTTTTGAGAAAGCAGCAACTAATTTTGAAGGAACTACGACGGACCTCAATCAAGGCTGCTTTTTCTTAAGTCCTCTGAATAAAATCCTTGTTTATAGTGGGTGACCAAAATTCAGTATGAAAACTGGTTTCCAACTTTTTATTTTATTTTTACTTAGACTGATATATAGACTCATATATTCTTCAGATTGCCCCAAGAGCAAAAACTCATCGAGTGGGCTCACTAAATGTTTCCAATTTGGACTCTTTCACTCACACACTACCAGTACATTCAATATTGTATACGGAGATAAAAATAGTAAAGAATAACCCTTGCGGCAAGGGAAAGAACAACACATCGAATAATAAACTCTTTGTGGTGTCTGTTTGAAATCGAAATGAACTTTACTGGGAATTCCGCGAAGGATGTATGTAGCAATACCACATGTCCTCGTGAAGAAGCCAGAAAGTTGAGCCTCTCTCGAAAAAGCTTACTGGGAATTTCGCAAATGGGGTCTTTAGCAATATCATATGAAAAAGGCAGATGGTAGCTAAGCCTCTCTCGGAAATAGCTTATTAAAGAGCTCACAAGTCCAGGCAATCATTGGTTTAGAGGATTTCTTAAGATCTCTATCTTGCCTTTTCTGTCAAGCTTTATAAAGTACGAGAGACATATAATTGTCAAATGAACGTCATCTCTCGTCGTGATAAAAGCTCAGCTTCGTTCCTTTTGTCTATCTACTGTCAAACATCTATAACCGATAAGCTTCATCAAGGAATAGAGACAAAGGGATAAAATATTTTTTTCAGGATCTTAATAAATGTCTTCACGTCCCTGAGTGATCTTTTTAATCGCTGTCGTAAATCACTAAGGCCTCCACTTTGGGCAAAACGAATGTGTTTTATTCAATCGTGGTCATGATTTTAGATTACGCGCAGATCGAAATATATAAGCAACCTTCAAATTTTCAAATTATCAAACTCTGAAACAACCCCTGGGCTAATCAAAGTCATGGCACGGCTAGCGAATCGTATATTTTGCGTGTTCGGGTTTTCAGAGGGAGAAAAACCAGAGAACCCGGTGAAAACCCTCAAATCAAGGTAGAGACCTAACAAACTCTATATAACTCACATGCGATGCCGATTCACATATGTTATATGTTATGCTACTCTTGATTCCCCAAGGGCAACAGTATAACTGTACATAACGATATCACTATACAGAAATCCCCCCAATAGCCATCTTGACATTGAGCGCAATGTTTCCCCATTTCACAGCACGTATCATTCTCTTATTACGAGAATTAACGACTCTTGAGATTCCAGAGTATGCAGGCTTTGCCTCCAATCCAGTAGTTGCTTGTTTTGTTATTCTAATTTCTGCTTTTGTTTACTGACCTCAGAAGTGAGGCTATTAAAGCCCGCATACACTGGAGTTTTAAAAGTCGTGAATAACATTCTATGTTTGAACTGTATCAATATTCATGTGTCTTCTCATGTGAAGCCGTTAAACGAAGAAATGATAGAGAATGACACGTGGTCTGAAATGGGAAACCATTTCGGTCAAGGTAAAGAGATCTATTGACAATATTTCCAAAGAAAAAGAAGACAAAATTTAAAAGCGATAGTCTCTAAAATAAATTTTTGAATTGATTTAGCAAATTAGTAAGAAAGTAGACAATATCAAAACACACGTAACAGGAAATTCTAAGTAAAGCTTTTGGACTCAAAACTAAACTAAACAAACAACAAAAATAACTAAAAAATTTAAAAATGGAACACTCTTTGATCATTTTGGCACGTTCTGCACTTGGCCGCGACAAGGTTATTCCGTTTTCCTTTCATTCATTCTTTTTTTCTTTTTTTGTTTGTTTGTTTCTTACTTTATTTTTTTGCTCATTTCTTTTGCTTAATTATCAGCCCTATAATTCTATAACGAATCCAGTAAATAAAAAGAAAAAAAGAAAAAAGAAAAATGCTGAAAGAATTGGAATGGGAATAGATAAATGAGAATTAATTTGGTCGGTACTGGTTTTTTAACCTGTAAAAACTAATGAACATAAAATGAACCTTCCGTTTGGCTTCCGCGGAAGTATGTGCAAAGGCGTCATTCAAAAAAGAAAAAAGAAAAAATTAAAACATTCAATAAGACTAAGTTTTCACCGGAAATTTCTACACCAGCCCTGAAGGCAATGAATCAACTCCCAGCACGTTAGATTGCGCTTGCTCAATCCGGTACCACAAATATGCAAATTGAGATCCCAAGCAATGTATTGTGGGTACTAATCAAGTGAAGTGAGTCCCAGGACGCATTAAAATTGTGAAAATGCACTTTCGGTCCTATTTTTGTGCATAAATGTACGATATTTGGGTTAACATGATTCCTGGTTCCAAATATTGATTTGTGAATTTTCCTTGTGATAAAGGACGACAGAAGTCACTTCGCATTTCTTAAAACTAGTAACGCAATCTGTCCTGGTGCGATGCTTTTCTAAATGATGTTTTGCACGATTTTATCCTCAATGGTGTAAATTTATAGTCAATTTGTTATCATGACCATCGAATATAATCGGCTCATGCTTGTCTGTGGCCGTGAAACTAAATGAAAGCTCTCCACCTACCCGACCCCCAATAAAATGTAGCTTTATTAACAAGCACCAAAGAGAGGAAGGGGCTGGGGGCTTAATAACACAAACACACATACACACACACACTTTTTGCTAATGCCCACTTAAACTTCAAGGCTTAGTCAAAACTTTATGCATACCACATCTACAAGAGACAAAAAGACCAGCCAATGTGACTGGCCAAGAAAACTGGCCCAAGAGGAGCTTGGCCAGGCAAGCACCAATTTTTGCTGAACATTGCCCATTTACCAGCAGCTATTTTTAGCCACCAGAAGTATGTTATCCTACCAATCTTTTTTCATCAGAAGAGAAGAGAAGGAACCCCCGCACCCAATCATGAGCACTTTTTGATGCTATTTTTAGAATCATTGATGCTATTTTTGGATTAGTTTATTTGATTTTTTGTTTTTCTGCATAAGCTCTTAGCTGTTTGATCATATTTTGCTGTGTTTTTCAACAGAATGTGAGCCAACAGCACAGAACACGACAGAAAAAAAAAAAAAAAAAAAAAAACACAGAAAAAAACAAACCTGGCAAATTGGATTCAAAAAATATCATCAAACGGTGTCTATGATGGTTACTAACATGAATACCAAAGATTCCTTCTCTCAGTTCATTTTCTCCTGGTCATCATCATTAGCCATAAAATCTCTGACAATCTTAACACTAACCTGTGTGACCTCTTCCACCCATCGACAATGGATCAATTCATGAAGGTGTAATGATGCTCTGTTGATCAAATACAAACTTCAATTTAGCTTCTGTCATCAGGTTCATAATAACAGGAGGGCTGTTAATGCATAGGCTGGTTACAGGAGATCCAAAAGAAAGTGCTGACTTCATAGTGGAAGAAGACAAACTGAGGAGTTGCACATGTATGTGAGAACCAGCTAGCAATTTTACCAAAATATGACCATGTCTGATTTATCTAACATACCCATGACCAGTGTGCATGCTTCAGCCGCTCTTACAATAAGAACATGCCTAATAGGTAAATTCCAAGCCTTGTATGAAATGACTGAAGAAGAGGGCCAATGTGCCTTTCACAACTTCAAGTCACGTAAAAATGAGCCCTCTTCTTCTGTCGTTTCATACAAGGCTCATAATTTACCTATTACGCATGTTCTTATATGATTTCCGAGCCAATCCCACATGGCTTACTGCCTCATCTATCATGCTCTTACAATTAATTGAGTCACTTTTTTTTATCGAGTAACTATTGATCACCTAATGGAATTTAAAAAAATGTGAAATACCTGCAATGAGGACATTGAGGACGCTGTTCTGTTAACCATCTCTGTAATTTAGCAAATAATGAGGAAATAAATGAAAATCAGGGGTGAAATTTAAGTGTCTAGTCGTTCTAGCGCTTTCGCACTAACTGGGTACCCTTTTCACTCACACACACTAACCACTATATCCAATGTTCTAACAACACAATACTGAACTGCAGTAATGTTTAAAATATGCCGGTTTAGACAGTACGATTTTCGCCTACAACTATCATATACAACACACTTGTGCCATCTTACAACTCGAGTCGTAGCATGTAAATCAAGCCTACAACTCACCTATGACAGACGCAGTTGTAGGTGAAAATCATACCATCTAAACCGGCCTTTACAAGGGTTTAATAAAGGTTTCTGTTATCAGTGGAATAAACATGGTGCTGTGTGACTGATTATATTATTATTACTTATTATCATTATTTATCTATATTATTAATATTATTATTATTATTTATTTATTTATATTATTATATTATATTATTTCTTACCCTGATACACAAGAAGCAGCAAAGCTTAGAACAATGAGGGCACAGTCTTGCATCACGAAGCCTTTCCATGCAGATGAAACATCTGAACACCTCTGACAAACTCTGCAAAGAAAAAATAGATTTTTTAAATTCTATGATAGAACTTAGATTGTTTCAGGGTATTGATCAATAGGCAGCCATGACAGGAGGTAGATTGATAAGTTTTACACCGTAGTGAAAATAGGAACTAGGAAAATAGGAACTACGGTGTAAAACTTATCAATCTACGATAACTGTTTCATTAGAAACACCGACGCAGTCCACGCTAGTGTTTACTAGCCATCATCAACATGACAGGAGGTATTACAATAGAGTCATTTTCCCCTGGGAAACTGAATTCCTTCTCATGTAAAACCATATTAGACCAGATTCAATTGTTCCTGCCTCATGTCATGGCTGGCATTATTTTATTGTGCAAAGCCTCTATACAATTTGGAGGTTTTATGTGTGTGTGTACTGGTGGAGGAAGACTTGAACATTTATTCTCAAACTCATGAATATTTAATGAGGAGAAAACAAAGCAAATGACTACTGTGACGGTGGTTTGGAAATGTGTTCTTAATTTGCATTAAATTTCGTAAACTTTTTCTTTGGTTTTCTCCAAGAAATATTCATTAGTTTGAGAAGTAATATCAAACACTTGAAAGAGTTCTTCCTCCGATTTCCAAACACCTCAAAGTCAGTAAAAAAAAAATCGGCTGCGCCTCATTTTTTCAACTCACTTTTCGGTGTTTGGAAATCGGAGGAAGAACTCTCTCTCGTGTTTGAAATATTACGTGAATATTAAATGGGGACCTTTCTTATCAGCATTCAAAGAGAGTATGTGTGAATAATATTTTGTAACACATGTACCTGCAGTCCCCCACTCCCCTCAAAAACATTTTCTGATCAATCGAATAGCACATTTGTTATTATTGATTAAAAATTTTTTTTGATGACTAATGCCCAGTTTAGTGACCCAATTTCATATGAATCTAATGCAAATGGTTTTGCTCATTTGCATTAGATTTTGGACCTAAACTGGGCTATAACAAAATAATGTTCATTTTGGCTAACAATGCACAAATTACATCCTTAGATTCAAAATTGCCTAGACACGAATAAACTGCTTGGTTAAAAGCATTCAACATAATAATATGAAAGAATTTGCATGAAATAGGGCTTTGAATGCTATTACCGGTAAATAATGAATATAAAGATGGTTGTCTTGTCAGTTTTGATGTATCATTCCAAAATACATGCATGTATGAATTGAGTTAAAATCTTTAAAAGCTTTCTAATGAAATATCAAATTGCTAATGACTTGTAAAGTTGAAGTCTATTCTTTATTTGAGTACAATGAGAAACAAGACAGGTGTAGCAGAAAAAAATAAAATAAAATAAAAAACATCCTCTGAAAGATCATAGCACCAACAATGTATGGCCACATGTATTTATAAATCAGAAAACATTTAGATGGACAAATTTCTGCTTGTTAGGATAAGCTTGTCGTTGAAAATGTAATCTCATGATGAAAGCATATTTAATTTATAGATATGACAATCAATGGGGTTCTTTACTAATTGCATTGACAAGCTGTTTTGGTTGTCAAGGAACACGCCATAGAGATAGTAATAATACTAAAGAGCAATCTGGTTAACCACATTCTTCTACTTCATTATATTTATCAGTATTACGTAAAATCTTTTAATTTAAATTCAAGCTTGGATGATTTTTCTTTCAAGAAACAAGTGGGAATACAGCATATTTTTGTTCAGTTTCAATTTTTTTCTACAAAACCACATTGAAGCTTTAGAAATATGCTTTTTTTACATTGTTATTAATTTCAATTCGAATACTATAAAACTAGAAATTTAAAACAAAAATCAGTCTTTAAATTTTCAAATTACATTGCCCTAAGAGACTTGCTATTCTATGGTTTTATTATTCTTTAATCCCCAAAACAATCTCAGTAAAAAAGGAGTTATTTCTCATCTGTCATGAGGCCTTCATTTGACCCAGATTTACCGTATCATACTATATTTTGCTATATGTATTGGTAAAAGACCGAGAAATGTGAAATAAGGTTCCAACAAAACGATAATTCGAAGTAAACATGAATGAATCTCAAGTCTGTCAAGAAATAATAAAGTGAAAACATGGCGGCCAACAGATTTTAGAAGCCATATTAGGCTTTACTCCCACGCCGTTACCGACTAAGAAATTAAATAATACACTAAAATTACCTCCACTGAGTTGTCTTCCATCTTCACGGCTTTAAATTCTTTAGTTTGACAGCCGTTTTTTAGCGAAATTCTTTACCATTTAGACGCCAACTTGAGTGACATTACAAATTTATAGCTTATTCCAACGCTCGCTTGGTCAGCGGAAGTCACGTGTCAGCAAATGCTTGATTTCTATTGGCTAGCAGTGGAAACAGAGGGAAAACTTATCGATTTAAATTTGTTTGCGGTCAAAAAAATTTGGCGGGAAAACTTTAATAGTATTTTTATTTTAAAAATCTAGAACAGTAATAGTCTCATGTTATATTAGAAGCAATAAAATAATGAACATCAAAATATCAAAAAGCTTTGCCTCTTTAATCAATGTAGTTACCAAAATATTTCTGCTATTCTCACATGTTTGCTTACATGGCTTTTAAAAATAATCATAAACAAACTAGCTCCAGCATTTTAAAAGAACAGTTATTATATTACTTTAACAAAATTATTCCAAAAGCGAAAAAATGTCTTTGGTTGCATCCTTCAATGAAAAGCAACCCTCAAACAAAAATATGATAATTTTCGAAATGTTTTTCAGTTAAAAATTGTAAAAATTTTAACTTTTTTGAAGGAAGTCAGAAAAAAGCCAATAAAAAGCTTCATAAAAAAAGTACGATCCGTCACTCATTGAGTATCAACCAATCAAATGGTAGTGATTTTGCCTCCAGCCAATCACCGTCTTTGATTTTTGGGTTGTTTCAGTTGTTTAGCCGTGCGCGAAAATGGCCAACACTGCCGAAACAGTTTACGTAAATTCTGGTGGAGATATTGCGACAAAAAATTGTCTTTTAGACTTAAATGCCATGAAAGTGAACAGCCAAGTACTTCCCCTTTCTCCTTTTTTACGGCAAAAGGGACAAGTGGTAAATAAGTTTTAAAATACAACGAAAAAGACACTTTCTGAAAAAGGCGACAATTAGTTTGAGTTTCGCCACATTTACGTTACGTTTTCTCTCTTTTCTACGAAATTATTAGTTTTCAAATACTTTTCTGATTACTTTCCTTAGTATTTAGAAGACCCTGGGTGTATTTCCAGCAAAATACGAGACCTGAAGACTGATGCGACGGAGCACCTTGCAAGGTTCAGTAACTTTTCTACAAATGCTGATAGTACAAGGACTTTCAAGACTGACTACAACCGAAGAGCACGAAACGTTATTAGCAGCAGAAAATACAGAAAGAAAAGGTAGAATTTGCCTAAAAAGCCATGAATAATACTTAAAGAAAAACTCTTACATATACTAGTAGCAGTACTAAAGTTTGCAATGGAAGTGACAAAAGCTTAACTTGCTTGACGTTAATTTCGCCTAGACAAAAATTGAAACTTGACGACTTGCGTACAAAAAGAAAATGAAAGCAAAAAAATAATTAAAGACATTTAAAAAAAAAACACGCAATGTCAAGGCTTTACTCTTGATCCGAAATATCTTTTTTTAAAGCTAAATATTTTCTTTTTTCATGTATTTGTTGTTTTTGTTGTTGTTGTTTCTGTTAACTGTTGTATTCAGTCGCTTATTTCTTGGTTCAGATTGAATGAGAATGATACTCTCACACTTACTCATTGAAAAGAAAGGCGTAACTTTTACTGATGATTGATACGCTTTAGCATTTTCTGTACTACTGCAGTCCCCCCCCCCCCACAATACCACCCCCTTGAACCTTCACCAGAAATGTGTGTGTATGACCTAGAATGTGACCATTTGACTTCCAGAAAGATCCAGTACATGGAACTAGAGCGAGATAACAGATTGTTGCAGCAGGCTATCAATGAAGCAGAAAAGGTACACCATCAGGTCAGCCAGGCATTTCACAAGCTTATCCAACATGCAGAATGCTGTGATAAGTGCTGCAACATCAAGCTTTGCTTTGAATAGATGGCTGCAACGCAAACCTTTGGAAAGAGCTGCATGGAAATTCCACCAAGTCCATGACTTGCCATTTAAACAGCTGGAGCAAATGGTACATATTTGGGAGGTTCACTTTTTATGAGCATGCAGAGGGGGCACGAGTTTTAAGGGTATCATATTTGTACACTACTAAAAGGTCCTAAAAAGAGATGGCCTTTGATTGTTAATCTTCTGTTTGTGACTAAGAATAATATTTATTCCTTTGGAGAAAAAAGGGTAGTAAATAAGTTGATTTTAGTGTGATAGTCCAGATAGATTTTGTTTTTCTCCCCCCCCCCCCCCCCCCCCCCCCCCTCTGCTCATTCCTTCCCATGCTCCTAAAGAATGAATACCCCTTTGCCCTTTCCATTTTTAAGAGTTAAAATAATCTCTAACTTGTAATTTGTTCTGTAAATCAACACTGTGGTATTCATTTTTAATTATATTAAAAATTCACACAACAGAAATGAAATAGTGGTCGTTTTTATTCAAATATAATTTCTAGTAAATAAACCAAGAGAGGGTAAAATTTAAAATTATAATCAATGTTGTACACTTACTCTCCAGGTATAATATATGTTGAATTACAACACTCTTATAAACCAAATACATAAAAGCTGATAACACTATATGTTGAGATTAAATACCATAATAATACTACCTAAAGGAAAACGATAATATTATCAATGACTTGAATGAGAAATTATGCATCTTTATAAATGAAAGTAAAGAATATGAACGTATATGTGTAATGTTCGTATATGGTATACTCATCATCCCATAACACCACAAAACATATTGGACTAAATCTTAAAATAATATAATTTTTATGACATCTCTAAATATTTAGACTTAATTGGAAAAACACCAATGTTATATGTTCTAAATTAGTACATTATTGATTTGATTATAGGTTTCCTAGTTATGAGATGGATTTGTTGGTTTAATCACTGTTTCACTTATAGCACTGTAATTGCATATCATTAAGATATCTAATTCCATCTTTTTCAGTCAGATCTATTGTCAGAATTTATTTTTATATTACTTCATGTCTTATACAACTAACTAGCTGGGAAATTTCTGTTAATTGAATGGCTGAGAAGCGTAGCTATGTGATGTGATAATTCCACAACACAAATGTGAGCAAAAAAAATATATTGCCAAAGAAGGTACAAGAATTCCCACGGGGTATTGTCTTGAAAAGGTCTGAGCATGTCTAGAAAAGGTCTGAGCATGTTTATTTGGGCAATGGACCTAATCCATCTGGGCATAATGTTATCCAAATGTAGATTATGTGTCACTCCCCTGAGAATAAACTTCTTCATTGCTATATATAATCCAAGTGTCTTTCTGTGCATACCCATTTGGCAAAGAAATGATAATCTAGTGAATGACACAAGGTCGGAAATGAGAAAACAGAGGATTAGGTCTATTTCTTTAAGATTTAAAGAATATCCCAAGATTGGGCTTCATTTTTAGATCAATTCTGGAAAATTCAATACACAAATGAAATCATAATGCTACATACTAATGCACACTGAGAACTGTACAGTACACATATATATCAAAACTTTTATAATGCTACCAAAAAATTAAATTGCGCTCTTACTAAATTATTTCTGCTTAAGTTTGGCTCATAATACAGTCGTATGTGTGAGCCATAAATGAGTTCACAGTTAAATTTTCTTGTTAAAATATATATATTAGTTTGCTTTTACTGTTGCCAAATAGTATTTCGACACAAATCCAAATTTCAAAATATATAGATAAAATATAATTAATAAATTAATAGAAATTTAGATTGCCACGCCTATGATTAAAGCACAAAGCATTATATTCATTTTAGCTTTACAAATTATTCTCAAATGAACAGCCAGTTGGTCAACATGCTGAAATGATGGCTGACAATAGTAATTAGTACGTAACTGTGAAGCCATTTCTATATTCTGAATAACCAACATTTTTGATGATGCTATGCTATTATATTTAAACTACAGTTATGATATAAGCAATATTAGCAAAGCTTGCCTTAGTAATGTCTAGATAATTAAGCAGGGATTTATTTAGGCAGTGTTTTTGAAATGGGTTCCATTGTCAGGTATTTAAACTAGGAAATTCATCATAGCCAATAGTTCCAGTAATTACACAGCCATTTAAATTTGAATCTCCAAAAGGAGGATCAATCATTTTATGGTCAGTATTCATAATAACACAATCCACAAGTAATATCTTTTATATCTTTGATTAACCATGAAGGTTTTATGTATAGAAATATCTGAATATATATGTATGTACTCACGTCACACTTCTCACACAGATATTATATAATTTGGACTTGATGTATATTTTTGATATTTTTGTTCAAAATAATTAAGAATACCTTAAAATACCTAACTGTATGGGTAAATGTAAAAGTCTACTAGCTGTTAGGATGATGTAAATGCACCTGGCGCAGACCTTCTTCTCAGACTAGCCTTTTGGTCAACGTCAAGATGACTAGAAGCTTTTGGCTTTGTCTTAGGTGATGCTTTACCCACTGGTGTAATGGATTTTGTTTTGGTTTTTTTATCCTGTTTAGGGCTGCTCTCAGCTGATCTTGTTTGCTGTTCCAAGGATAATTTCTTTGTTATCTGCGCCAACTGTCCACTGTTATTATAACTCTTATCTTCTTTACAAGTAATTTTACAAGTCATAGTTGGTGTTGTTATTGTTTCCGTAGTCTCTGTAGATATTTTTACCTTTGCAATGATGGGTACTAGTTGGTCAACAACTTCGCTAACTCCTAATTTTTCAATATCGTTTTGTTCTTGATTACTGTTGGCTGTTTCATTATTTACTTTTGAATTTGAAGGCTTTGTAGTTCCATTATGAGAAGGAGTTTGCGAGTGATTTCGTACAATAACAGGATTGCTAATGTCTTTAGAACTGTTAGTTTTGGAATGAGCATCAAGGAATACCACAATCACTGATATATTATCACTAGATCCTGCTCGTTTTGCAGTATCTACCAGTAACTTTGCAGCTGTGCCTCTATCATTACCTTCAGCAACATGAGCATTAACAAGTTTTACAACTTCTTCTCGACCAACCGTATCCCACAATCCATCACAAGCTAGCACCACAAACTCTTCATCTCCTGAAAAAAATGAATGCCACATTAAAGGGCCTTAAAACAGCTACAAGTGAGATTAAATGAAACGAGCAAATATTTTTCATGTCTGAAGGCTTGTGCTTATACTAGAAAATGCAAGGGGATCGTAGTATATATTCCATGGTATGCTACTCAAAACTACTGTGTATCTACCAACTGATCTGAAATTGTGACGTAGAGATGACCTCACTGTAAAACTAAGGTGTCATGAAGCCTGCAAAAGTTGACCAGTGAAAAATAAAACATGCCTTCCATTGCAAAAAGTATATAAAACTCATTAAATCTTGTGTCAATGTAATCGAGTGTTCATTAGCAATGTTATTTTTTTCATTTGGTGGCCTGGAAACCCATAATTTCAAGAGGAAAAGCGACACCTCAGTTTCACAAATTTTATTCCGATTGGCTACCATTTTTTCTTAAATCAGCCAGTAGTATTGTTGCCCTTCTTTTCAGACTAACAAATGAATGCTAAAAAATTACCTTCTAATGTAAACTCTGATAAACAGGGTTCTCCAGAGATATAAGGTTTATGCTCAACATCACCAATAGCCCTTGATACAGACAGATTTCCATTGACTCTCCATGCTCCAAAGTACACCACACAACCACCAAGTGCTTCAATACGGTCTTTCTCATCCTAATAAAATAACAGGACACTTAAATTTTGGTTTTCCAAGCTTCATGCACTAAAAACATGGCGTAACTTTACACAGGGTTTTGGATACAAAATAGAACCTTACTAACTTTTCTACACACACAACCAAACGGCTTGGAGACATTTGCTAAATTTTAAACACCTGTTATAATGGCGACCACAGTGCAGAATTTTGCATGCTCTTTTTTTTGTAGGAGGAGGGGGAAAGCAGGGATAGTATGGTAGATTCAAAAGTAGGGTGGCATAGCTTTTTCAAATGCCCAAAAAGTGGTAGGACTCGTACTCTTTTGGTAGTCATTTTATTTAAATGTAAGTGGCTAAAGCCCCCCAAGTGTCATGGCTCGGCAATCCCCAAAGAGGAGTACTGCCATGTGTTTTGTTACAATTTGAAATCAGGGTTAAAGTACCTACAGCAAACTCCTTCACTGCGTCCCAACACCCTACTATAATACCCTACTGTTAACCTACACCTGGCAAAGAGGATTTGGAAGTAAAGAGGGATTTCATGTCAGTTATGCCGGAGGACAGCAACAATGCATTGTTATGTCATGACCAGATTATTTATTTTCCAAGTGAATTTTTTATACATTCCTTTAACATAGCGCTTCAAGGAAACCCCTCTACTACTGTACCTTTTGGTCAGGTTTATGTGGTTCCATCAAGATAACAGCTTCACCTCCTTTGGAAAGTACAGCCTGAGAATCTCCTAGCCATGCTACATGTAGTGTATCATTTGATATCAATACAGTGACAGCTGTGCATCCACTTTTCAAACCCTATTAATGGTTCAGAAAACAGTTATTGAAGTATTTAATTTTATCAATTTTATCAATTGATCAATACATTTTACTAGTCATACAATAGATGCCATAGGAATTTCCTATGCATAACTTGTATTTCTTTTAACACACACACAATGCAGCCTTCAGGTGTGTTTATCAAGAATATACAAGCAGCAAGTGCAAAATTTCATGGTATACCACAGGTGAAGCATCGTACAACTACATTTTATCCACCACCATTGGAAATAACTAGAATAACTAGGCTGCAATAACCGATGGGAAGAAACACTTGTATGTGTCTCAAAAACCATTTTATATTATGCATGTTCCATGCATTATTTCATTACAGCCCTACTTTTTGATACCTCTGTTCTAGCCTTCAGACCAAAACACTCATCTGTCATCATAAATGTTTCATAAAGTGCAAGTCCTGGGTCAGTGTGAAGGTTCTCATTCATTGACAAAAATACATGCAGATTTGCCGAGGCATAATTAGCAGCATCTACTCCTCCATGACCATCATAAACAGCAAAAAAAGCAAGGCTTGGAAATTCCTTGGGGAAAAAATAACAAAAACAGTAATTATTACAAATTTACTAATTTTCTATATCAAAGCAGATTTTTAAAATTGAATTGAGGAAGTTTTTCTAGGGAATCCAAAAATTGTGGCAAGTCATGTGAAATTCTCTTGAGTATTATTTCGTTGACAATTACTTGCTTTGACACTGACAGGATTGTATGTAGGTGTGTGCCAAGGTGCTCCCATCTGATTTGCCCCACCCAGTCCTTACATGACAGCACTAATTCATTGTCTCTAAGTGGGATACTACAAGACTGCCTCAAGGGCCACAAAGGGCTTTTCCACAAAGCACCCTAATAAGGGGAGGTACTTATATTTGAAAATATAGCAGAGCAGGAAAGTATGTGTAAAAGTGGGGGACTGATACTTCAAAACATAGTGGATATTAGAAAAAGTTGGGCTATATAGCCCTCCCTCTCAAAAGTCTCTATGCCAAATTGAACTCCTTTGGATTGAGACTCTTATGTAAAAATAGGGTATAATTAGTATATATCATGGGAAGTTGGGTGGCATAGCGGTGAGAGTGCTCGTCTCTCACCAATGTGACCTGGGTTTGAGTCCCGATGAGCTCGGTGTTGTATGTGCATTGAGTTGTTTGTTGGTTCTCTCCTGTGCTTCGAGGGTTTTCTGGGTTCTCTGGGTTTCCTCGTTCCGCAAGAAGAGCCACTCTGTGGAATCCACTGTTAATCTCATTATTTATTATTTATATCATACCTTGGGTAAACCAAAAAGTGTACTAAAATAAGGCATGATGATATGCTTATCTTCCATTTTCCTTCTGGTGTTCTTGATGGCATGGACACAGGATTGGTAAGATCTTTCTGATTTGAACATTTTTGGTGGTGCATGACTCCAGTCCACACAAATTTCTTGTACTTTATTGAAGGTGGCTTTGACCAGCTTGTCAACATCTAGACCTTCAAAAAATATTACATAAATAAATGATTGAATATGTTGGAGTCCTTGTTTCTCGAACCTCTTGAAGAACAGGAAAAAGTTTCTAAATAATGGAATATGCAGATATGCAGATATGCAGGATAAAATTGTAGTGACCCAAGATGGAGCCTTCAATTCAAGATAATAAAAGTTGAGATAACTAGACTGCACTGTATATATCTCATATGATCAGTATATAGCTCCTTCATTCTAAGATGATCTTCCAGAAGGTTGCAGGGTTGACCTTGATGCAAGCTTAAAATCTTTATTTTAATATGCAGAAAAAGGCCTAGGCCTAATATATCAATTTATAGAAATAGTAAATGACTACATTATAAAATGTTTTCCCATTTCAAACAATATATCCATCTCTTGAGATTAAGGTCCCTTGTATCAGTTTCATGGTGTATTCAAGCAATACTGATAAACAAAGAAATAATACTCAAGAGAATGACATATGACCTGCCATAATTTCTTGATTCCCACAAAACTTGCTCAATAGACCCTTTGCTGAACATCAAAATGCAGCTCAATTCAGAGGACATAACAATAGGTTTCCAATTCTCATGAGATTAACATTCTTTTGTTTTGTCCTCTAAATTGAGCTGCTTTGACGTCACATGCAAGGGGTCTAATTGCAAAGCATGCATATACTAGTGATTCTTTTTAGAAGATAATAATAAGTAATAACCCAAACCTTTATTGTTTTGCAGTTTATAACATGTAAGGTCAGCTTCCAACAACTCCTGTGTGGCATGATGGGTAATAGTTGCCGCCAGATCATCAGGACAATTACTAAATCAACATAACAAAATCAATCAGCTATGGGTTTATGAGAGTAGTGTAATTTTTGTAGTCCCAAAAAATAGCAAGTGACAAATATTTTAAAATAATGGCTAGTCATTAGACATTGTCCAGCCAGATCATTGGGACTTGACCAGTAAAATCTTTGCCTTGTCAGTCATGAGGACCAGTAACAGAGGGCCAGTAAAGAGGTAATATTGAGCAGGCTAAAACTGATTTGGTCATTCATCATTACTGACAACTGACTAGCCATTATTTTATGTACTGGTCTTCAACTCCACACAAAAACCACATTAGACCCCCTGATAGGTAATGGAATTTCTAAGTAGAGAGCCTGATATGAAGTTATTTCACCTCATTTTGCATGCACATCTCAAGATGTAAGCACAGTGAATTTGAAGGTGGCTTTAAAGATCAGTTAAGCTACATCATTTATAAGAAAATTCTAAGGTTTCAAAGTGAAATCCTAAAATACAAGCATTTCTCTTGTTCCCTGCCTTGCAATTATTATGATCAATAGTGTTTCAAAAGAAAAAATATTGCAGCTATATGTTTTAAAGTGTAACTGCTGTCCCCGACCACAACCACTTTATGGTATATAACATGTTTAATGTTAGATGTATAGGCAGGTCAGTGTGGTAAATGGGGTAATAATAAATACCAAAAACCTGTCTGATTAGAATAATTATTATAATAATTGCCAATTTCAATCTATATATATAATTGGCAACAGTAATACTTAAACAATAATCCGAAATTATTTCTAAATATATTTTCTACTCTTTCTTTTCTGAAATTACTAAATAATTCTTAAAAGAATTATCAATTTGAATAAAAAAATCCATTGATAAAACTAATTGACAAAGAATTAATTCAGCAGCTGTTGAATTCAATTTCTTTTGAATAGATCAATATTGTTTTGATTGACTTTACATGTGAAAAATTGTATTTATAGATGTAAAATATTTCTAATCTGACAGCAACAACAGCAACCAAGGAGAAAGACGAGAAAACTGAAAGATCACAAGTTTACCATTTGACATTAATATCAGCTTTACTCTACAAATTAGTTGAATAACAAGTATTATGTTAAACTATTGTTTCTGTAAATGGTTAAAAATAACGTCGAGTACCTTGAAGAATTAGAGACATTGCACTTTCGTGGTTACGTACCAATGTTATATTAGAATGTACAAAATGGTGGAATATAATATTAAGCAAGATAACCGCCATAAAAAAATATTAATTCTAAACTAAGAATTATTTCACATTTCTATAGATGAGTTTATCTTTATTACAACGATATATATTATGCTATCTTTTGTTCATTTGCAGAAACTTGATTTAGTAATTTCAAAATCAATTTGTAAATCTAATTTATTTTACTACGTGTTAGAAGTTTTACACAAATTTCAAAAACAGTGTATTGTCGTTGAGCTTATATTTATATTATCTTCGATCGAGTGAGGCGATGTTGGAATTATAAGAATGCATCAATCGAGCTTTCTTTCTTTCATAGATGGAAGCCAATCGGTCGAGAAGAGGCTTTCAATCAAGGTCCAGCAGTAAAGATATCAATTTTAAAATATTCATTCAGGAACTGCTTGGTTTGATCATCGCGGAATTTGTTATTTATATTCCAGTGTTTGTACTTTGGGTGTAAATGCTCGAAGAGACAAATGGTTGCCAATGTTGATTATAATCTGTTGGGATAACAGTTCACACACAAAGCCATTTTCAATGCAATTTGGATTGAATGGAACGAGTATTGCACAATATGACACCATGAACATAGCAATATTGACTTAATGGCCAGGAAAGCAGGACTTTAGAGCGACATATCTTGGTTACAGCGCTGATTTATCATTAGTGTCATTTACAAGGAATATGTAAACATGTTGTACATGGAGTAACAACACACACGGAAAAAAAACTTCCACTTACAATGAAAATCGGCCAAAAATTCAACCACAGATAAACTATGAATACCAGTAATCTACGTACCATTTACGGAGATATTCTAAAGCCCATTCAATGACATAACCGTGTATTTCTTCACTTCCAATGCTGTGTGGAGCATCAACTCGAAATGGAAGTGAGTCCTTCTCTTCTGGAGATGCGTGCTCCAAAGCAAATTTGCTTAAGAAATCAGCTGCCTTCTGCTTCTCTTCCTCTGTAAACTCGACACCCATGTCGCATTATACACGATGTCTAGCTAATGAGCCTTCTAAATTGTAAAAAAGAGCTAGGATTGTAGGTGTATGTCGATAGCCATTCCCCCTTTGCAACCCTAAATGCACTTTTGATAGTAAACTAAATCCACATGCTAGAAGCGCAGGGAATGATGGACTACTGTCACGCTACTATCAACACGTGACACCATATAACACAACACTTATATCAACCCTATTTTTTTAACAAATAATAACTAATAATAGACAAAGATTCAATTTTATCTTTTCAACAAAACCCCGTTTTTTTGTATTGTTTAGAGAATTCAAATACTGAAGAGAAACAAAATAAATATAAAATTCCATGTAAAAGTAAAAAGTAAAATATTTTTTTCTTTCCCTTGTAATTAATTGCGTTGTAAGCTTGAGTGAAGAGATCGATTAGATTAATGAGATCAGTGTTTTAAAAGCTTTGCGACTTCTGGAATTTTCGGCGCCAACAGCTTAGAAAGGACGCAAAAATTGTTTTTCACCGCTCGGCTTTCTCATTTAAGTGACTAAATCCCTTCATTTTCCGCTTATTAGCAAATACACATGTATAATACCGCTAATTAAGTTCCTTTGGGCTGGCGATTCGTTTTGATAAAAACTCGCCCAAGGAGGGCCAATACCCGACTAACTTTATCCTATTATTTGAAGCGCATGTTTTTGCACTTTTTGACTTTTTTTTAAGCGGCTACGCACAAGTGAGCTGCTAAGTGCTTTACTTATTAGCAGCTATTTTGCATCGTTGAGCGAGCTTGGGCTATTAATACTGTATTTTTCGTGGTTTTTTTTTTTTTTTTGCCCTGAAGGCATGGATCTTACACGAGGGCATATCTGCAACATTTGATAGCTACTTTGCATAATATTATTGGAAACACTTCGTTGAATTCTGAAAACTTGTCGAGACACTTTAGATTTTAACTCGACAAATTTAATTGTCAGTTAAGTTATTCGAAAAATATCTTATCTAATTAAAAGATTTTGGTCAGTTACGAATTTATCTTCTTGACAAAGAGGTTTTTCTTTGGCAGCCCCTATTTCCACCCCCTCGGAGGGAAAATTTACCAGTGGATCTAGATTTTTCGTGCTTTAACCCACCTCGCCTAAGTCTCTCTCAGTTCGCCATCACCGGGAAGTGTGAACAAAAATGAATCGGTTTAAGGTGGGGTCATACAACAGTTTCGCATTCGATGCGTACCGCTGTTTTTGAAGACCACAGACTCATTTGCAAAGGCTTAGCCTCGTTTATGAGTATATAAGCTATCCCTTGAGGACAAAGGAAACCCATTTCCTTGGGAAGAGGTTCCCTTTCAAAATTAACTTGGAAGCGAGAGAAAAGAAAACACTCGTTAGAATTTGTGCCATTTCTTTCGTATTTTCCTGCTAGCCTCGCATCCAATAATTTGTTTAGAGAGGTTTATATTTTCAAAAGACACCGAGCTGAGCTGATATGAAAAATGTATAACGGCTATATTTCCCCTTCTCCTGTAGACAGTTTAGTAATCTAACGATTTTTATCAATGCTTTTAGTGGAAGAGTTTCCCTTCTAGGGACATATCTAGGAAACGAACACTGCAGATAAAAACGCAAGACGCATGTATTACTTGGAAAAGGGACGCCGGATCGATGCGGATCGAAATGCGCCTAAGAAAATGTTAGAAATTTTGAATTGTAATCTGAATATGTTATTACTTTGTACAGTTGTTATAATATTATACATTACGATGAAAAAGTATGCGAGTAATCACTGACTCAGAATAACTAAGGTTAATCTAGCAGAGTAGTAACATATTTCAACAAATCATCTAGAATTAATTATTTAGTAATTATTTAGATCCGGTGCGCGCTCTGAGCACATGTGTAACTATCTCTATTGTTTTTAATTTCACATGCGTACGTCCGTTTGTGGAAACTTGTGGTCAGCTCAACTTAAACCCTGCTTTCCATATGCGCTTTGACGTGCTTTATCTATTTTTTATCAGTGTAATTTTAGAATAAAAACCCAAAATCTTATGATTAGTCATGAACATCTTTAGGAAAATATAAAGCACGAAAAGCTAGAGTAAGAAGGGATAAGCTGAAAAGCTAAAGACAACAGAAAAAAGATAGAAAAAAAAAACGGCCGTAAAAACTGAAAAAGCTATATGGAAATCAGACTTAAGCTGATACGATAGGCCACAAAGCTTCTCAATCCGTTTAGATGATGGTATGTTTTATGACATGACGGCTGTTCCGGTCGCGTTTCGAACCTCAGCCGATTACGTCATGATCCAGCTCACGGTACTTTCGCTACTCGTATACTAAAACACACTGACATTGGAGAATAAACTTTCAGTAATGCTTTTGTTGGTGGAACTGATACTATATGGATTAATTAAGCTCACTAAACAGCACCTAGCTATCAGCTAAACTGAAGCAAAACTGATAGAAGTGGAGCATGGTATTTTAATGATTTCATCACAACACAGGCATCCCAATGAACGAATAAAACGGGAAAATAAAAATATTAAGTCTGAGACTCAAAGTCTCGCGCGCGTGTATTTCGTGTTTCATCAAGATTATAACTTGTAGCTTTTTCTACAGTCTTTGAAGAATCCGTAAAATACCGCTTCTTCAAGGCTTCTTGGGATTCACCATGACGGCTCAAAGGAAGTAGTGATTGCCAAAAGCTTAAGGTTACCGCCCTGGATTGTCTCATCGTTAGAGCTTGGGTACTAATTGGTGGCTTGGGGACTGGTCTTTGGGTAAAACACCTCGAGTATGGCGGTTTGCTTTAGTCAAGACATAAGGAAATACTAGGAATAAGGGTTCTTAAATAAACTTGAACAAAGGTGGTCATAAGTGACACATTAAACTGAACTCATGGGGAAGGGTAGGGATAGAATATTCCATGTTTAAGGTATGGGGTGGGTGGGTGCGGTGGGGAGCGGGGGGATTTAGAATATTTCCTGCTTAAAAGGTAAAGGGTTACATAAATTGAACTCCACCCCTCCCCTTCCCAATGAAAGGAAAATATACATATCATATAGGGTTAAATAGATTTTAAAATTCTACAGCATTTATTAAAACTTTACGAGCTGGTTCGCACAAGATTTATTGAAACGACTCTTGCATTCAAGTTTAACTTAATGCAACTAAAAGTTAAGTAAAAAAAACTAACTTTGTATGAAATTAAGGCAGCGACGTTTCAGTTCGCTCAACCAAACTGACACCATTTTAAAATAAATGTCGTCTTGGAAGAAATTTTTGTTACTTCTCTACTTGTTACATTGGATAATAGTGTTGATGTACATACATTAGGTATTTTAAAATGTCTTGAGTTGCTGTTATATTCCATTTAATTGTTTATATTTTTGTTATTTATATTCATTTCTTTCATTTGATGCAAAAAATGCAATATCGTGCAAGACTATGGGGCTACAACGTCATGGCTGATACCAACAATCGTTTAACTACGCTGTCTCATTGTATGTACAACACTACATGAAGTACCAGCCCACTAGCCAAAAAATCAATTAAAAGTCTGCACGTGGAATTCAAAAAGGTATGAATAATCATTAATACAATTCGGCATGCAAGTGGTGACGAAAACTCGAAGGATTTTCTCGAGGACAAATTCTGCACATTCCAACATGACTTTGCGAAGTGACATCCCAAGGAAAGATGAAGATTCAAAAAGTTTATTTTAAACTTCCAGTAGTATTATTTCATGGCTTGCTTGCGTTCTTATTATTCCAATTTTTGTGATTTCCTTGTGATGTCCAGACAGAAGTCAGACAAATTGAAGTGAATATGACGTAGACGATTCACCAGTTAACGTGCATGAAAGAATATCCACAGCGCATGCGTATTACATGTCATGTGTCCGGTTCAATTTGAATTGAGTTCGCATTCGAATGATCCATTTTAAAATACAACGAATTCCAATTATCCCAAGTGTTCAATTTGTTTAAAGACGAGAGGCTAGTGGTTCAGCAACCCTAGTCCAGCTGTGAGGTGTCCTCTTGAAAGAAACCATGCAAAACAGAACCTTTAATGTCGGTCAGACAGATTATTGATGGGAATCTTATTGTCTTTGTGACTGACCGCAGTCACGGCTGTGTTTACCCCAGGCAGAAAGCTGCAAGAAGAAGAAAAAAAAGAGGATTTTAGACAACGATTTCCATAAAAGATAGACGCTTTATATTTTTGAGCTTCTTTTATTAATGCTAGTTTAATAGCAGCTAGCGCTTCCTCTTCACGCGTTGTGATTGGATAGTTTAAACTTTCGCGGATTTTTGATTGGTTCCTGAAGGAAGTATATTCATGACTACCGCACTCTCCAAAATGTTCTTATTTGTCTTATTTAAAAAAAGTTTTCGAATTTTCCATTCATACCTGACATTCTGCACTACAGTACCAAGCACCTTGACATCCAGAACATAAGAAAGAAGCATCCCTCTTACACACAGAGCACAAGTTCACGCCTTCCTCATCTGGTTTCCCTCGTGTCTCGCCCTCTCGAGCCACGCCCTCGGGCCTCTCTTTCGTGCTATTAAACCCAGACACGTGATTTGAAGGTGGAGCCTTGCCTTGCATCCTGCTCAGTTCTTCTCGCGCTCGTAACGCGCGTTCACGTTCTCTCATCCACATTGCATCGAACATGGAGGCGGTGGCGGCTTTATTTGGCAAGTCAAGATCAAGGGGCCGACCAAGTCGCTGTTCCATGGGTCCTTTTGGAGAAGAACGGCGATCATCCTTAGTTTTATTTTCAAAGGAGTTACTTGGATGAGAACCCATATGCGGAGGGTGCGTAGACGAAGTAGGAATGTGCTCATCGTTTGACATCCGCATTCTCTTCGCTCTCTCGTCAGTCAACCGTCCAAAAGGAGGCGAAGACATATGTCTTCCTGGTAGACCAAAAGGTCCTTCTAGTTCTCCTGCATCACGTCTTCTTTTTCTTTCCTCGGCATTGAGTCTCTCGAAAGCGACGTATCGCTCCCTCTCGATCATCAATCGCTCGCGTTCACGAAGCGCCGCCATTTCTTTCTCACGATCGCGCGGCCCGATTTCGCGGTTGAGCACCAAAGGGTTGACTTTCTCTTTTAGTTCAGCCTGCAGCAACCTGCGATTGACGTCAATTTGTTCAAGGCTGAGTCGGTGTCGCTCTTTTTCTCGCTCTCTTTCAATCTCCTATATTAGAAAAACATATATTTAAGCACTTTAGACACAAGTAAGACACTGGCACGATTTGCATAGACATTTTGTTGGCAAATTTGAACATGATTGAACCATAAAGAACCAGAATTAAAGGCTTTCAAAAGTGTCAAAAATGCACAAACAATATACAGTTAGAGGAGACAAGATTTGACTAATTTTTTAGTTGCATTCAAACGCAAGAATTTTCATTCCATTCCAAGATCAATTACCGTGTTTGTCAAGACTTCCTCTACACTTAAGCCTTTTGAAAACCTGACAGTTTGGTATAACTAACATTGATGGATTTCCGATCGACGGCCAGAATCAATTGGCAAAACTCGCCTGCAGTGCCGGAACACATTCATAGTATAGAGGTTCTATTGACAACTTAAGTGGTTCTGATGAAATTGCTTCCAATTTATAACAACGAAAGGAAGGAATATTATTACATTTGTGAATGTCACTTCGTTCCTTCCGGACAAAAATGGCTTTTTCTGAGATTGAAGAAAACATAAACATAAATGCCACAATAACCGATGCAAAATTGGTTTTCTTTTAAGTTACCAACGTGGCGTTTCAATCTGAAGTTGGTTTTGAAACTCAACTCAATGAAGTTCATTAAAATCAAAAGCAAAAATCAACTTCTAAATTCCAACTGGAATTTCAGTGGATTGAAATGCATATGCTAATTCCTATTTATTTTTATTTATTTATTTTTAAGTACATTAAAATCTTTTTCAAATATCTAAAAATTTGCTGCACTAACTGGGTGAATGAAAGATGATAATCTGGATGGTGATTGATTATATTGAATAGGAAGATATTTGTTATCGATCAGCAATAATGATATTATCATTAGGATTACTTGGCAGCGAGAGGGGTTAGTGAGGTCTTTCCTCGTGCAATATCATAAAATCCCCTAAGTACATGCCATTTGCACTAGCTCAGTTATAAACCACTATTTTCATATTGATTCAGTTGTATTTATTTAGGCTTACCGTTCTCAAATGTGGTGGTATATCCTTGTCGAGTTCCTTGTTGTGTGGTAACGATTTACCCTGAGCTGCCGCCGCAAGACGGTCCATGGCCTGCCTAGACGCCATCGACATTGGATACCCTCTGGATGGTGAATGGCTGCGTGAATCGGCCAATGACCGAGCCATTTCGATAGAGAATCGTTCAGCGAAGTGTTTATCAGCAGGATGAAGAGATTTGTTTCCTGAGTGGTTTGACGCGATTCGTCCAAGAAGCTCCCTATGCGAGTTCATCTCCCCGACACGAAACAGTTCTTGTCGACGTTGAAGATCATGAAGAGCGGCTGCTCTCAAATCTAAACGTTGGTCAGGTCTAGAGGGGTCTATTAAGCGATCTTGGTAAAAGTCTCTTCTTAAAAATGGTGGTGATCGTTCGCGAGGCATTCCCAGTGTTGGTTTAAAGTGTTTTTCAGATTCTGCTCCTCTTAGAAATTGATTCTTGATTCGGTCTCTTTCCATAGCTAAGCCTCGCATGCCTTCACGTTCAGCCATTGTTCGCTTCTCTTGTTCTTTTTCTCTCATTTGTTCGAGGTTTCGCCTACGATCCAAAGCATCCATTGCTTGCTCCTCGCGTATCTCGCGCTCTCTTGTCTCAGAGTCGGCAGTTCTTTGGGCTCCCTGTTCACGTTCTTCTCTGTTAAGCCCCTTGCGCTCTTCCTCTGACATTTTACGATGATCATCTAGGCCCCTTAGGGCGGGACCGAGAATGGACGAGTTGCCATGACTACTCATCAGACGCACATCAAACTCTTTAGCCGATCGAGAAAGGGGTGGCATGCCCTGATCACGTGACTGGGCTAATTCTCTGTCTTCAAAAAGCTTTGCCGGCGGCAACCCCACTCCTTCCTTTGAAGACATTTGTCGGAGAAGAGCAGGATTTTCTCGCATTGCTTGCTCCTCTCGTCTTTTCTGCTCGCTCAGTGTCCTCATTGCTAACGCGTCACGCTCGTCCAAAGAGCGCAGTCGAGGTGGTCCTGATTTCAACAAGTCAGGTTGAAAGCCACTACGGTCACGCTCTTCCGCGCGAGAAAAATCGCGTTTGTCGGCTTGAGATAAGACAGCTGATTGGCCACGAGAAGAAGTAAAAAGAATGGAATCCTTTGGGTGGATCAGTCCAGGCTTGCTGTGACCAGAAGGTGGAGTTCCAAACCCAGGGACCATGAACTCTCCAGGGATTGGCCGGTGTTTGATGGAAGACAAGAGATCTTGCGGACCTTTCATCAGGTCTTGCTCTCGACGTCTGTTTAAGTCTGACAGTGTCAAGTGGTGAGGCAGGGACCTTCTTTCTGTTGGGAATAGTCCTGGCGCTAGCGGGTCTCTCGAAGACCGTTCAGGAGAACTGTCAATCTTCTGTCTTGGTGAGAGTATAGGCTCCATTCCTGATCTTCGCGCCTTTTCTTCTTGAAGGCTGTCTATATCAGAAAAGGCTTGGGACGGTCTGCCGCCAAACTGCTGCAGATGTGACAACATCAGGGGTGGTCTCATGCCAGGCACGTGCGCGATTGGTTTGACGACTTTCGAGGGTTGTGGTGAAGTCTTTTCTTGGTTGGACTGCGAATCAAGCTCACGTATCTTAGGTGATTCTTTTCCCTGTCGGCAAAGCTTACAGTCCGAGTTCGGACAGTGTCCTTCTCTGTGTTCCCTGGCAAGAATTTGTGAAATATGCTCATGGCCGTGCGGACTGAATGCTTGCATTGAAGGGTGGTGAGAAGGAAGTCCCATAATACTGGGTGGAAGGCCCCTAGTGGGTGAGCCATGGAAGGGACAGTTGACATCACGCTTACAAGGTCCTGGTTTCATCCCCGGATGGAAATGATGGTGGCACGAAGCTGAGGGGTATCGGTTGGTAGGCGGCATGGGACCACTGAATAACCCTGCCGTGGAAAATGGCGGGTTATGAGTAATTAGATGTGGAGTGAATGTCCGAGGTGAGTATGGCTTCATGTGTGGAGACGTAGGTCCGAGACTTGGTGGCAATGGAAGACCATTTGCATCATGCATTGGGAGAACAGGAATGAGTATTGCAGCTCTGTGGTGAGGCCCCATGAGATGAGAACTGATTTCTTTACCTGAACCAGGTAGAGTCGGGCTCACAGAATGTACTACCTTCTTAGGAGAATGGAATGGCATGTTTTTCTTGGGCGGAGAGAAGCTTGAACGTTTAGGTGAGTGACTTTCGTCCTTCTCGGACGACAACTTCTCCGCCGAAAATGACGAACTTGTTACTGGACTGTTGGAAGACTTTGACTTCTTGGAGTCTTCACTGGCTTCTTGTTTCTTCTTGTCATCATCGTCATCAAAAATCTCTATCGGACTGAGCTGTTTTCTAGCAGAATCGTTTTCTTTTGGGCTAGTCGTTCTTTCATTTTCACTACTTTTGTCTTCTTTTGTGCTAGCTTCTTCAGTTTCTTGGTTTTTCTTCTCGGGAACGATTTTCTTGAGCTTAGGTATTGGCTCAAGGGAGGAGTGTTCCTTTGATTGCAGCTTATGCTTCAGAGTAGGAGGTAAAGGCTTAGGCTCGGTGTTTGAACTGTTATCAGGTGAAGCAGGCTTGAGCTTTGGCGGCGTCCGCGGAACATTAGGAGGGAAACTCCTGCGAAGAAAACTTCTATGAAGCTCAGACTGAAATTCGTCTCGTTGTGGACTTGGCGGATCGTTCTTCATCTCACCACTGTCAGATAAGTTGTCCTTTGGCTTATCTTGAACGCTCAGTTCAGTTTCAACAAATTTTGACTCTTCCACACTCATAGGTAGTTCTTCACTAGGGATAATTTCTTCGTCGGAGTTTTCTTCAGGGTTGTCTGAGTTTTGATCTGGCTTAAAGGCCTCTTCTCCAAGCTTTTTCTGCTGTAGTAGCCTTTCTACTAGCCAGTTGTGTCGCGGTAGATCACGAGCAAAGCGGTTCTGACTTACCAAGTGCGGTGGAGTTGCTCGTTCCTTGTCTTTCTCGCGCTCTATACTCTTTCTCTTTTGTCTTGCAGCAATCCGTTTATCCTTCCTTGCTCTTTCTCTTCGTCCTTGTTCTTCTAACTGCTGCCGTTCTGTCTCAGTCAACGAAAATATATCTTGACTTGCATCCTCGGTATCTGAATCCTGATGTTGTAAACTATGAGTCGAAAGCTCATCTTCATCGACATCATCAGCGTACTTCGTCTCGTCAATCTCACCCCCTTCATTATTTTCCAGTGTAATTTCATTTTCTTCGAAGCAGTTTTCTTCTATAGCAGCAGAATTTTCATCATTCTTGCCATCGACGCTACACAGTTCATTCTTAGGGCTTTGAGATTTGCTTCTCTGAGCATCGTCTTTACTTTCTGCCCTGAAGTCCGAACCTTCTTGTTCGTCACTGTCACTGTCTAACTGTCGCGGCTGTTTGCTTGCTTTAGGTGGACGTCCAATTCTACGTCCTGTTTTACTTCTCCTTGAAAGTCTTTGAGGTGAGCTCGTTGTCTTGACAACGCCTTTCGTATTTTTCACCTTCTTTCGTGTTTTCCGCTTCACCTTGGATTTCCCCGATGACGTCACAGGTTCCAAGTCACTAAGTTCCTCCGCGTCGGACATTCCCTCGTTATTTGACACATCGGTGTCCTGTCCCAAAGACGCATTGTCAATCTCTTTGTTACTTTCGAGTTCCTCGGTAATATCGTTGTTTGGCGAATGGGTCTTGTAATAACCTTCGTCAGACTGCGCATGCGCAATCTTTTTATTAATAATTTTCTCGTCTTCATGAATGCTGTTCTCAAGTTCATAACAAGGCGAAGAGATTCCACCTTTTGAGTCTTTCTCCTCGTTATCGCATTCACCTTTGTCTTTCAGTGAATGTTCACATTGCATATTTGCCTCCTCCAGAATCTGGGCCATTTTCGACGCTTTGATAATGCTGTGATCTGATTGACAGTCCGCGTTTTCATTTCCATTGATTTTACTGAACAGGTTTGGAGTATCATCTTCTATTGACCCATCCTGGGTCGAGCACTCACATGTCGTATTATCTTCATTGCTATCACGTGTGGGATCCTTGGGTGAACATGAATTGGTGACCTTTTCAAGAGATTGATCGGACGAGTGTTTGTCCTGTAATTGCATATCTGACAAGCTCCTATTAGATACAACTTGAGATTTTGAAGACGCATTATTGAAGCTTTTTAAGAGACCTGAGCCTTCATTATCACTCGTAGGCAGCTCATCATCCGTAACGTTCTCAAAATGAGGAAGCTTAACCTTGCGATTCAGTTCACCTCTACTATTAGCGGTGTCAGAGGCTGGAGAAGCAAGACTCCCCTTTGCGAGTTCACTATCGTATTTTTCCTCATCACTTCTCATTTCCAATTGACTTTCATTCACAAATTCAATCTGTTTAGCTTCCTTTACTGCTCCTTTGCTTAAAATACGCTCAAAGAGTGATTCAGTTTTGTTTTTATTCGTTGCAGTACTCGTGGGTTCCTCGTCATTGCGGCGAGTTTCTGCTGGTGATTCATCACCAGGGCTCATAGCTGAGAAGTTACCGTAACATTTTTCGTACATTGTGAGTTCATTTTCCTTCACGCTATTGCATTCCTTCTTGTCCAATTCATCGCTTCCATCAAAATGCTCTTGTGGTGAGTCACTATCATTTTCCTTCTTATCCGCGACGTCATGGTTATTGGTCATTTGTTCCTTTTGCAGACGCTGTGCCCGAGCAATATCCTCGCTTAACAGTCTTTTCTGTCGGGCTAAATCCTGAGTGAGACGCTGCTTCTCTCTCGGCGCGTCTCTTCGGTGAGATTTCACCATTGCTTGTTTGTTAGACGAGCTTTCTGAAGACTTCTTGTCTGTATTTGCACTAGGGCTGCCCGCTGAATCCTTGTTAGATTGCGATCTATCACTCCCAGAGCTATCGACATCCTCGCCATGTCTGCTATTACGACTGGGAGAACTATAACGGGGATAACTCGAGCGGTGCTGCATCTCAGAGCTATGCTTAGAGTAATGCTTCCTCGAGCTCGTGTCTTGCTCGTTTTCGCGTTCTTCTTGGTGATCGCGTTCGCGAGTTGAGTTTCTGTTGGGAGATCTTCCAACTCCACGACCACGTTTGTCATTAATTTGTTTTTTATGACTAAATGGCGGTCTTCCTCTCGGTCGATGACCCTCTCGATGTTGGGAAGGTGATGTATAGTAAAACCCAGACATGCCTTGGTTCACGGGCCGCTTGGCCAACAAAAGGTGTTCTTCTGAGCTTAGAGAGTTTGAAACGAGTCTGTTTTCGCCTCTGATCTGAAAAACACATTCAAAATTTGGTTAACAGGGAAAACATGTCCAAGATTGTCGACGCATTGTGCTCCATCTTGGCGCACGGTTAGACTTGCTGACAGACCGCGACCTCAGCGACGCATTTCTTTTGTATACAGATAAGCATGTGGCCTTACTGAAGAGGACTTGGGTTTAAAAAATTCCAACAATCCCAAACAAAAAAGGACAGTTAACACGATGTGTTTATAAATAACCTTAAGGAGGTTTAATAACCTTAATTGATATTGAGATTATTTAATGTCGATATCTTCAGCAAGGGTCATAAAGACCGGTGTCTGCCGATATATTGGCCCTTCAGTTCTCGTCTCCAACTAATGACGTCACATGTTAATCTCTCGCTCGCCGGCGCTAACCTACATCTCTAAGCCTGCGGCATGCAATCTTTAGCACTTGATCGAGATATAGATCACTGATCAACAAAGATCAATCGATCTCAATTCATTTTGCTCAACTGAGTGAAATTCCGTTCTAATCAACGGCAAAACGCTTGTAGGTCATTGATGACTGCTCATTAGAAAGCTTGTCTCGAACTTTTTACCTTCGTAATGATAACAAATCTATATCAAAGGAACCGGTAATTATTTCTCAGGGTAAGAAGGAAATATTTCTTAATAAGAAGTTGAAACTACCGTCAAGGAGATGGGCAATATAGATTCATAGTATTTCCAGTAAATTAATGTAATAAAAAATTTCCCATTTTTTCATCGGTTTTAGTCGGTTTAGACTTTTGCTAAAACTGTTCTCATTTAAAATTTTTTTTTTTTTTGAATTTTTTAAAGTTAACTTTATGATATAAACCTTGAAATGAAGTTTAAATGGAACCCCGTAGTTTACCACTTAATGGTCATTCAACTTACCACATCTGAAGAAAGAGCTACGCTCCGAAAACGTTTTCATTTACTTTGCGTTTAACATTTTACTGGCTTATAAGATATAGATAATATTTCTACAACATGACGTTTAAATGTCAAGAGGGATGATTCATAACTTACCGTATGTATTCTACGTTTTCTTAATGGTTCGTGTTTCTTGTCTTTCTCTTCGAACGGGTTTTCTAAGTAAGGACAAAATGCTCCTACAGTACAATATGTACACATCCAAGGTTCATCTATTTGTAAGGCTTTCGCAGGGATGGACGGGTCGTGACACTTTTGGTGATATCCTAGAAACCAGACAAGCCGGAAAAAAACAAACTTAGTTTCACAATCCAAAGAAACAACAAGAAATACATACCAAATCGATTAAACAAAAATCGATAATTTTTAAATATATGATATTTTTGAAGCTTGGTAATGATTTGTTTTGTCGGAGTCGGTGGGTGTAACAAAAAAAAAAAAAAAACAACTCGAGATTTTGTTGGTTCAGAGTGCTCGTGTACTGTTGGAGGTTTAGTGTTTAGTGTACTCGTTCACTGCTGTATTTAGAAAGCTGGTTCGAACAATAATGTCTCGAGTTCCACTCAAATCAATAGTAACGTATCCGAGCCCTCTACAGCCCTCTAGTTTCGTCGCAACAACAAAGCACGGCAAACAAATGATGGACAGCTAAGAATAGACAGAATGTCATCTTGCAAAGATGTTTTTTGACAAAGACGTGAGCATTTAAAAATGGTCAAATAAGATTCTCTGGTGTTTCAGCCCCTGTCGGTTGTATTTGCTCAAGTGGCAAAGCCCTTTTTTTAATGCCTAAGAGACAGACGGATATATAGAAAGACGAACAATGAGTACTATGGTATAATAAATAAGCACGGCCAGCTTTGGTGAAAATCAACACTTGTGTACAAGCGCAACAACGCGCACGCGCGCGAATAAATAAATAAATAAATAAATAAAAACCTTGATCTCTAGTCTAAACATTAGAATCCTAGATGCTATGCTAATGCAAAATTCTATTAACATCACTATTCTTATGCATAAGAGTGATTAATATTACAGTGCATCGGCTTTTGCAGCTCATCTTGGATTTTCAGAGCTACTTAACATACATTAACTAAATACACTAACCCGAACTTCATATAAAAGCGTGAATTTGGTGCAATGTATCTTACTCTCACATAGAAAGGTTGCTCAGTTGCACTTTGAAAATGAAATACCAAAACAAAAATTGTACATAAGAAATATCAGCTCTACTGATACGATACACATCAGACGACCGACTGTGTTGCATAACGAAGGAAAATATTAAAAATGACGCACTAAAAACAATGAAATTAAAATTCGTTTTTAATTTTTTGACAAATATGTCAAGAATCACCGGGGGGTGGGCTAAAATATACCTAAGGTATACTGTTTTAAAACTCATCATATATATATATAAAGGAAACAAATGGCGAGAAAAACGAAATAAAGGTAAAAAATAAATAGATAGTCTTTTAAATTACGCAGAAAAACTTAGTAAATCTTTAAAATGCGGAAATCGGAAAAAAAGTAATTGGGAATTCGCATTCGCCTTCTTAGGGGTAAATATTTTTTAAAGAATTTTTTTAAAAAAATTTCTATATCCAAATTGAATATGAATCTGTTTACAGGAACAATCGAAATCCTAAGTCTGATATTAATTACCAATGGAAATTTTTTTTTCTAGATTGCTTTTTCGTATTTTCGTTTTTATTTATTTCAGGAATGTTTGTTCTTTTATCTAGCACCGAAGCACGTAAAAGCACGAAGGAGCAAGGATGATATTTTCGACAGCGTTTGGTGTTCTCAAAATAACTGCTTCTGTTCTTTACTCTTCATTAACTATCTCTATGCGTGATTAATAAACTCCAGTGACACCATAACTACCTTTTCTTCTATTTGTATTAAAACAAAATGGCTGTCCCCGACTCGAAGCGGCTAAAAACATGACACATTCTCGAATTAACGATTCTACTAACTAAACTTCAACCTTGGTTGGCAGGGAAACTCTTTCGATGAAGAAGCTATCCACCTAAATAAACCAAGTCCGTGGACTAAGCGAAATCTTCAATTCTACTCACCCTTATGTTAATTTAGATTTTTATAAACATCTCCACTTTTGTCGTTTAAATCGGCATGTCTTGGTTATTTTTCACATTGTGGTAAACTGAAAACATTCTCTGGCGTTTTTGAGTAGAGAAGCAAAGAAATTAAGCGGTTTAGACCGCCTAAATTCTCATTATCGAGCGCCCTCTGAATTTTCTGTAAGTTGATGGTCGCCAACGGAAAGATGAATAGCAATAACGAATGATCTTCTGAGAGCAGCTGAAAAAACAGCTTGGAATCTTTCAGGGCTACATTATTTCGTTCAATTACCGACCATTTGAAAAACAATAGTGGAACAACAACTGGGTAAACACTGCCAATTATTCACCCAGAGAATTGTTTACGGGGAAAGATAGAAGACGACGGAGAGACAAGAATAAAGTGGAGTCCTTAGGAGACTTGTCAAAACGTGAGGAATAGCCGGTAATAACTAGGGAACAATATAAACGCAACTGAACCAATGGAAGTCAGGTGTATTTGAACTCATTGTCAGGTGTAATGGTTCTGATGAGACGAAACTACTAAAAACTCAGGAAATTGTGTATGAACCTCGTTTCCTGATGTCAATCTTGGCAGGACAGAGGCAAAGATCCAATTCAAAAGGAAGGAAACTTCAAACTAAAACACGAAGAGCTCGTTTTCTCCCGCAACTCGCCTTTTAGAAAAACAACCCACCCAAAAATGTCAAATTTTTTAAAGCGACTGAAAAGCGTTAAACTTTTAAACCAAGTAAATAGAATCTAGATTATAATGAAGAAAAAAACTAACCAAGTCAGTAACCGTTTGACCCTTGTTCACTCAGATACACTAGGAATACTTGGGTCGAAAAACAAGGCCACGGACAAGTTTTTAAATTCCTCCAAGTTATACAAGCTGAAAAGTTGTTAAATGTAGAGTCTCATGTGTATATAAGATTAGATTTTTAACCTCTCGTGTTAAGAGTGTTATTTAAGACCTATCAAATGAACAAATTTTGTAAAATGATTTGACAAAAAATGAAGCAAAAGAAGGCGCCAATTCTACTTGGGAAAAGATCTTTTTTTAACTTGTCTTTTCGTTTAAAATTCTTTTCAACCTTCATTAACTATAAGTACAAAAGGAAAAAATTAATTTGGAATTTAAAATGGATTTCCCGAAATCCATAAAGTCTACATTATCAAATTGACTCTGGTAAAATGGAATCAAATTTGAAAAAGTGTATATAGACCAACAATAGGTTTTCCGTTTTCCTCAAAAATCGATTAACTATTGGCGGTTCTTGTGTGTACTATCCTTCTAATGAGCACTTCCTTTGTTTACGGATTTCAAAGAAAAAAGCCCGAATTTTTTACTCTGATTAGGGTCAGACCAAGAAACCGAGAGAGTCGGTGTACATATAATAGCCAACAGAAAGATTTCACCTGCCCTACTTCCGACAGTTGTTCATTTCAATTGTCAAAATAGCTTCCGTTGTCAATATACCTTACCTCCGACGAATTAATATATCAGCGAAAAAGGCATCAACGGAAGACATTAAGAATACAACAATCAGCCTCCAAATGATCTCGAGTTGTGAGCCAAGCATCTTAAAAGGATCAAAATGAGAAAACATCCTGTGGATTATGCATTTAGGGGTCCTTTTTTTTAGTTTTTGGAGTTTGTTTTGAAAGGATATTGAAAAAGAGAAGTCGGCCGACACGTAGTATGTTCTGGATGAATATCGACTCACTTTAGGAAAACTCTTTTTTTTTGTTTTTGTTTTTTTTGTTTTGTAGTTAAAAAACCTTTACTTTGAAGGCTGGATAAAATCTTAAGTAGAAAAAAGACGAACGGCTAAGGATTTAAAATGCAGAACAAAAGAAACTTAAAACAGAAAGAGGGGAAAATGATCAACAAAAGAAAAAAATTCAAAAAGAGTATTACAGTGAGTGCACTTTAACGACGGAAGCTCTCAGGTGAATTAGAAATATTCCAACAGGAAGCAAGCTAAAAGATAAGCCTATATTGTTCTTGTAAAAAGATAAGTCTAGGAAGGAACGAAATGTTATGTTGACTTAAATGTGAGACAGAGGAGGCCGGCTTTGAAAGTATTCAGCTTTCGGCAGTAAGCAACATTAGGGGAGCTTTGAAAGGAAATTTGGAGATAAGTTATCTCTTCCTATTAGAGGCGTTCCAAAACAAGTGTTTGGTGGCAAAGATGGACAAAAGACGCAAACTCAAATACGGCTGAGTGTAATCAGATGAGCCAAGATGTCATAAACGCTAGCGTGCTGTGTCTATACAAGTACAAAAAGAAACAATACTTATGTCGAAAAATGAAGACCATTTGAAAAACCACCCTTGAAAAGGAAAACTTAAAGAACACGAAAATAAATAAGCGCTATAGGGCGCGTCACAGGGGATGCTGCAGACGTCGATGCTGCGCACAGCTCAGTCCAACACATTCCTCGGTAAAATCCAATGCGTTTATCCGAAAATCTGACAAATGATTTTTATAAGCCTTTGACACTGAGACCATTCAAGATTGGTTTGAATGCCGTTTACAGAGGTCGTAAATCGAAGAATAAATAAAGTCAAAAAAAAAAAAAAAAATCATCTGGTGTCCAATCATTAGTAGCGGTTGTAGTATTACATGGAAAATTTCCCGCCAAAACGTACACGAAAGAAAAAAACTGGTATCGAGTGGAGTGTTTCTGCAGGCGCGAGAAATACTGCTGAACACCTGTCGAGGAATATGATATGTTATTCGTCCAACCTGCGAAACAAGGGGTTGCCAATGCATTTTCAATTATTATAAAATAATATTCCAGTTTAACTGGTAAATACTCCTCTCTGCGTAAGTTTTTTTTTTTGTTGAGTCGATTTTGCTTGATACACGGTTTACAGGTGAGCAATGCCGAGAAAGTTCTCTTTCACTGAATTGACTACGAGTCTTCGCATATCGCTAGAAAATCGTATAAAATCTATTAATTGTACTTGAAAAATGAAAAAATTTAAACTTCCAGAGAGAAAAATAACGCGCCTGGGATGTCAATTTGAAGTTTTTTTCAACCCTTTCGCACACAATCGTACTAATAATGACAAGAATGAAGTGAACATTAGTTGAAACTCAATGTCAAAGGGATACTTGGATTCAATTGAAATTATAGTGACTATATTATACGAGAAAAAGTCTAGACTA